ACTGGCTTTCTCATGGTTTTACTTTTACTGGGGTGAGTTGTAATGTATGTGCGTAAGTTTCATGTGGTTTAATTTATGAATTTTTTCTACTGGTCCAGTGTTTTCACAGATTCCGACTTCTGAAGAAAGCAATGAATGAGTTTTAACTAATCCGTCACGTTTGCTTTAGTCTTGTTTAGCCTTTGATTACTAACTAGACTGAAATTTTCCATTAGAGATTTTCATAGTGTTTTAGTGCTGACTAGCACTTGAATCTAGGACGCAACATTACCTCAGATCTATTTTTGTTATCTGGGTGTACCCACTGAGTCATGTTGTTCCCGTTCATATTTGAGCTCAGCACCCATCATTTCAAATGCCAAAATAATACTCGAAGGACCACTGAACATCCAAAGCAACTTTGTTTTACTCGGCATCATTTTACTTATTTGTTTGCGGCAGTAGTTGTCAGACGGAACAACTGTCCAGGATTCTACTGATAGAAATAATCCATAAAATGAAATCAGAATAGAATTCAATGCAATAGCTAGTTGTCTGGATTTTTTAGGAGTCAGGAAATTGAAACTATTTTAGTGGTAATTTTATATCAAGGGAAGATAAATGACTAAATTTCTAAAAAGGGATTCATACTGATGAATGAATATCGTAAATATGATCTCATTTGTCCTTAGTTTATCACTATATCAGTTCTCTAATCAATAATCTTATTCTGTAGATTTGTGTTTTCTCTCTAAAATTTGTTCTTTTTATCCATTATTAAGGTCATTTAGTAAAAAATGTCACATAAGTGGAACTAGTTTGGCTAAAATTGATAGATCGCTTATTGTGTCATTTATATGAAGTAAAGTATCAATAAGGTGAACGTAATTAACCTATAAATACAGCTTTTTAATTCTTGTTGTAAAGAAAAACACAAGTAAAACGATGAAGGTTTAGATTACTTCTTAAGGGAAACGTCTCAAGAGACATTACAGTATTTAGATCTGAGTCTCAGTTTTTACTATCACTAACTGAAACTACACTTATATTACACCTACTGAAAGTAAAGTCCACCTTTTACAGATATCTCGTAAGCTGTTTACATAAAAGTTGGAGTAACTTTGAAACAAAAATTACCACTAAGTTTCCAGTTTATATGTGAGGAAACAGGAAGATGGTGTCACAAGTTTGAAAGGAAACAGTTTCTGATATCACACAGCCTTCACTCAACTAAATAAACACCAATCACTTGTCATATTAAATAAAATTCAGTGGTTAAAGTATGTAGAATATTGCTTTTTAACCTGTATCAGTTGGCTACCTTACAGCTTCTCGTAGTACCAATGACTTCAGTATAATATTAAGAGGAAATTCCCCTTCTATATACATATATATATATAATTCTTTGGCATAAGTATTTTGAAAGCGTGGTGTACCAGAAGGTTAAATGGCTGAAACTGGTTTCAAGATTTAAAAAAATTACATGTACCCTCGTTACCGTTTTCAGTTGTTACAAGAAACACGTATGGTATTTTAGTTATTTTATTTATAGCAGCTGCAAAATCAAAGTTTACGCTTTTCCGTTGTGTGTTCCCTGTTATTTTTGATGTTTATGGTATCTTTTTGTTCATAAATGTCAAAAACTAAAATTGGCTGATTATTATTCGATGGAAGGTGTCTACCTGTGGAATCCAGAATGAGCATTTCGTCCTATTTAGGGCTCGTCAATCAAATGTAGATGCATCCCCAATAAGTGATGGTGTTCCCTCACTAAGACGGTTGGAACCGACACCCATGTTTTCAAATGCCAAAGAGTTATACACTAGGCCACTGGGGCATGAAAACCAATTCTTTTACAGTGTGTACAACTTGAGATTTATTACTCTGAGCAATTAGTGAGAACTTATACAGGCATGATACCCAGTTAAATTATCACTCATTAGATGTACAAATTGCAGCAATGCTTGGAAACCTATTGACGATAAGTTTATAAAGTATACTTCTAATTCAAATAAATGTTCGAAAGAGACAAATGTTCCGCTAAACAGCAGTGTCTCTTCAAAATCTATAGTATTAAACGAAATAACAAAGAGCTTTTATTTTGGGAAATAGCGTAGGTGGCACAGAAGTAGAATGCTCGCCGACCACGAAGGTGGTTTGTGGTTTGATCCCCGGCCGACGTACTCATTTACCTCTCTAACCCAGTAATAACATTGTCAAAGATGGAAGGTTGGGCATGAAACTAGCAACCCCATCCTCTAAAAATAAACACCACTGCTACCGAAACTTCAAAGCGCTAGCTTGAAGCCTTACATTCCACTGAGAAGGCTAAGGAATAAAAAGAAAATTTTGGGGAAATAATCAAAGATTGTTTCTATAACTTAAGAAACCAGGTACGTGATAAACTTAAGAATTCACCTCGTAGATTATGAACCCTGAAATGAAATAATTGCATTTGTTATTAGTGGTCTATGAAAGAATTCAGTCAGTGTGGAGATCTGGACTCAGGTATCATGCCTATCTCTAACTGATATGCCTTTCCTAATCACTAACTTTTCTTCAGAAATATAAATATGCATTACCTGAAATGAAATCAAATTTTATTCTAGAGCTTCTCGCATACTAGGAACATTAGTAAAACAGATCATGAACTTAACTACTTATTAAAGAATACTTAGCATACAACTACACTACGTTCATTGTAAATATGGGTTAGTTTATTTAGAGAAAGAGTCTAGTTTTCATTGAAATAGTAAATTTATGACCTAGAATTGTTGTTCTTCTTTGTCATCAGAATCTCTGACTCAGATAGAGAAAATTTTACACAACTATGTGGACAAAATGGTTTCGAATTAAAATTCACTTTCACATAACACAGGATAACAGTCAAATTAATTTCTTTTCGAATTGAGAAGATGGTATTTTTAAGGCTATCACTTGAATAGAGGAAATTAGCTGGAACAATTTTTAAAAATCCCAGAACCGAAAATTAGTATTCCATTGAATTTTGAACCATAAAACAGTTTCATTTGTGCACATCTTTGTGCTATCAAAACAAGTAAAAGAATACATCTTAGCATGTGAATAAAGTCCAATCGAAAACAGTTTATCGAAGCTTCTGACGATGTATCAAAACCCTAATAGCGTGAGATAGTCGGCTGGAGGTCTTTAACGGTTAGATTCAGAACAGTTTTATCCACATTGGACTTGCTTGATGGCAGCTTTTACCGCTTCGGATTGATGCAAAGTACTTAGACTAATCTGAACGAAATCACTCCTTAGCCGCTGTTCTAGTGCATTACCAGTTCACACTTTATGGAAAAACCCCTCTTGTAGTCTAAGCACTACCTTCGAAAGCCAGTCACAGTAAAACTTCAATCTGAAGTTTTAAATACAAGTCTAATTCTTCAATTAATACTTCCCTTAGGTCAAAACTCTTTTAACTTCCTCACATTTAAACCCATTAGATCCAATCTTTGTTAGTATGATTTACAAATCACCATAAAGATTTCGATATCTTCTGAAGACAGTTGATCAGTCCTCCAGGTTTGTAATTTAACAGTAAATTATGACTTCATGTAGATGCCATCAGGAACTGAAATCACTTTGAGAATCATCGAAAACCGAGGAGCTCTGGTTTTCTTTTTCGTCCTAGTTTGAAACTCATTGGCAGTACGTACTCAGGACCCCAACACCGGGATCGAATCCACTGCCCGTAGACCATTCAGACACTGGGCTAGAATTCAGTGTCCCGTGAATTCTAACCTCTTTCGATTCTAGATATGGCGTTCACTTCACCTTAGCAAGATGAGTCCCCAGTGGGATGGCGGTTGAGTCTGAGTCTCGGGAGGAAAATAATAGTTCTAGAATGCAGGTTTGATTGACCTAAAAGGGATGGAAAGCGTGTCGTGGAACCTGATATTACGTATACACCAACAACACAAGTAACAATTTGAGTAAAAGTAAAGATATTTCAAACTAATGGTAATAATTACTATTCTGCTTTCACTCATTCACGGGGAGGGCGACATTATTCAAATTTCAGTTTCACCTCATCTGGCAGCTTTTCGATTTCTGTATTTTTGTACTTTACAATCTTATTAAAGCAAGAACTACAGTTTTGGCAGAATAAAGTGGTACCATTCTGCAAAACCTGTAGTTCTTACTTTGTTCAAATTCATTAAGGGGAATAAATGTATGAAACTTTACAATCTGTTGAACAGATTTCGCTGTGAGCCAAATATCATTACTTTGGCTGAAAGCATAACATAGTTGCGCATAATTTTGTTTCGTGAATTAGCCTGAATATTCTTTTATCGATTTAGCCTTACAATTTTTCCAAGGTTAAAAAAAAAACTGTAGTGAAATATTATTTTTTTGAAAAAAGCATATTTTGCCTTGCTTCAGATTAATACCTACGGCACACAAAAAAATTCCTGACTTCATGTTATGTGTGCGCACAGAATCACCTAACTTTCTATCCGTAATCGGATCAATATTTTCACGCAGCTGGTTTACATGCAATGTAAAAATGAACCAATAATCATAATAAGGATAGGGAAAAAAATAAGTGGAACAACAACTGTTCATTCACTAAGTATCTTCAATTCGATTAATTTCCTGCTAATAAAAAGGGATAAAAAGTATTCATTGTTTTTAAAATAGCACAACATTAAGGATTTTATCGATCGATCAGAGGGTTACTACCGCACTTACACATTTATACACACCACTGCACATGCACTTATATACCAAATGTATTGGCCAACGCCTAAGAATGTGTTTACGTTGTTGGAGAAAGTGTGTGAGGGGTAGAATTAGAAGCAATGATGTGGTTGGCTTCCTTTCAGTGTCCTCAATTAATCGATGCAATGAAGGAAAAACAAATACATCCATTTGGGAAGAAGAAGTAGGGATATGACGCCCACATAATCACTGAAATACAAACACACACACTGAAATTAAATAATCAGTTTACCGTTTTATATTACTATCGGTACATTTCACTAGGTGTCAAGCGAATATTCACTTCACACTACTTTCGGTTAGTCACAGCACATTTTCAATATAATTCTCCTAATTTATAAATACATATATATATTTCAGGTTTCTAATCATTTGAAGTTTCCTTTTATCATACTTACTGTAGATTTTCTGTCGCCCGTGTCATCATTTATTAGTATATCAAAATGAGTGACGAAGAAAGCCAACAGAGGTAAGTTCTTCCTGACATATTTGTAAACTTTTGATGAATTATCCCTCGTTTTGTTTTGTTTTGTTTTTCACTCAACTGGAATAATCGATATCTATTTGGTAAATGTACGCCTAGACACGACACGACACCTCAATATTGTCTTGACAAAAAGACATTAGATGCATTTATTTGACTTAATACACAGGAGTAAAGTGTTAATGCTTAGATTACTTTAATGTGTATAATTTATTCCTCGTGATCGTAACACAACTCCTTAGCTTCGCTTATATAGCTTTGCATGGTGTATGTATTATATATATGTACAATAAAATCAGAATTTTCAAAAGAGTGGATACTGAACAAAGAGTACTCTTTTCGATAAATTCATCATCAGGCTCTACAAATATATATGCATTCACTATAATGTATATATAATTGTAGAGCCTGATGATGAATTTATCGAAAAGAGTACTCTTTGTTCAGTATCAACTCTTTTGAAAATTTTAATGGGTATTTTTAATCAGTTAAAGTCAGAATTTCAAGGTAACTGTGGTTTTTATCAATATTTTAAAAATGAGACATAAACGTTACAAACAAATAACAGTTTGAGTATTCTTGTTTCGATTCAAATGGCAAAATGATAAGTTAAATCACTACAGAAAACAACTAATCACTGTTGTAAAACTAAATCTAAGTGACACCTGTATTAAAAGTGTATTTTAATGTGACTTTAAATGTTTTCTACTGAAAACGGACCTTATATTGATAAATATCTACAGGAGGATTCATTTAAAACTTAGTTGTTTGAACAAAATTCTGGAAACCGAAATCCCTTAACTACTGACTACAATTAAGATTTATTCAACCCTCACCGCTACATGCACACTGAATAGATTTCACATTCCTTCAAATATTTACCAGAGGAATAATTTTTAAAAACTTACTTGTTAAAAGCTCAACAGTTTCTGACTAATATGTACAACAGTTGTACAAAATGCTGAACTGAGTTCGAGCATCTTTTACAAGTTCACATAAAAACTGTCCTACAGACAACAATTTATAAAGAATGAATTCATCTGGTAGTAATTTTCCTCATGGATATACATCACCCGGGCATACAACAAGAACCAGGAAACACTGGATAACCATTTTGCTTCTGCTGTAGTTGGCATCTCAGTGGACGCGAACCTAATATTTTCCTGTCATAATAATGAAAAAAACCAAAATAATTTTCAACTGAAATTACACATTAGAAACATTAGTGTTCTTAAACTTTAGTATTATTACTACTAAAAGACTTAATTGGAATCTTAAGCTGCTTTTTATTGTTATTATTATTATTAGAAAACATAGAGCTGTAGTTTAATGACACTGAAACTGGGAATTAGTAACAATTTCTCTAGCTGACAGCTGAAGCATCACTGGGAAAAATAATGCTATTTAAATATATTCTGCAAAGAGTTTAAAGTCACCTAGTTATGCTTTAAGAATCAGTAATTTTAACTTTTAGTTTACTAAGTGAAGTAAACTTGGCTCAAGCAACTTCACAAGATATTTATAAGAAGACCTATTAGCTTTTGAGAAATATATGATCTCAAGACACATATTCAAAGGAGGATTATTATTCACAAAGATTGTGCACAATAAATGCGTCCCACTTTAATTGGTTTTAATGAATTCAGTAATGTACATTTGAAAGATTTCTGGATGACTGACTACTAGAATTGAGAACCTTAATCTGTTTCTCCAGTAAAAGAAAAATTATCCGGGAAAGTGTACTGAAATTTGAAACATAAAAATTCTATAAGAAACACAAAATAGTTGAAATGTAGTGGATCAGAGAAAGCATCTTTAAGGTTCACAGGATAAACTGAAGTCAGTGGTACTTAACACCTTTAGAAAGAAACAATTTGTGAATACTGACAGGGTACAATGCAACTGCTAAACAAGCTTGTGTGATACATTTGCTGAGTGCTAGAGGAATAAAATATGGGATGTTTAGATTTCTAAATACCAGCCTAAATATCTAATGCTACTGCCCAGTGAATATACACTGTCATTACAATATAAGTTTCTCAAGTAATTTAGCATAAATCTTAACTCACCGTAGCCAGTAACAGATTTCTAACAAAAGTTTTAGAGAATAGTCCCATTCTGATTATTAAACCACGAGTCTGTTTACACTGATGAGTCAGAGACATGAGACTTAAAACAAAATGTGATTGAATAAATTTCAAAGTGTACATACAACAAAATAACACCTAGTTAAAACAAGAATGTTTGTTAATATTGTAAAATACATTTTAAAGCTATTAGAACAAATTATTTTTTTTGTGTTTTGCTTAAAATGAGTCATTTCTATAGCTGTCTTTTAAATGTAGTCAGTAAAGACTACTTTACGTTGAAATTCACTGATGGATGAGGTACTTTTATACATTAACGCAGAAATAGCGATCAAAACTCAATAAAAAACTCTAATATCAATTCCAAAACGATAAATAATGATGCGTAAGATATAAATAATGCAAATACTAATTCACTACACCTTAATGTATACACCTTGTTGATATTATTGTGAATTTCTCATTGGTTGATTTTACAGGACCGAAATACTCGGTCTATGTTGAAACACAGGCTCCTAGTACGAAGATTTCGACGATTGTTTGAGCTGAACATAATGTTGATTGGCTAGCGGTGACTTGTTACGGAATCTGTGATGCGTGTTTCAATCTATTTGGGACTTATTGGCTGCATTGTCTGCAACCTTAGTTTCAATGAGTAAAAGTATTCCCATTGAGGCTTGAACCAAGCACACATCATTTCAAATGTCAGTGTTATCCTGGATTCTACTGCTAGTCACCACCAACCAAGTGATAAATATCCACATATTACTTCATTCGCTTCACCAAAATAATTTTACTGTCAGCCTTTAACAGATACTGGCTAAACCTGTAGTACAAAAGCCCCTATTATTGTTTCAAATTACTCATTCCCTGAGTTCTCAGTGGAACATAGAGCCTAACAAGCACAGCTTGTTTATAACGAAACCACATAGTTTGTAATATATTATATACGACCAACGTTTCAGTGGTTGGTACTAAATTCTTTCTTTTTCAATTTTTAAAAATCACAGTTCATCTGAAGAGGTAAGTTAATTCTTTATTATTATTATTATTATTATTATCATTATGTTTTGTATATTGAAACGATCCAAATCCAATGCATACGTTTTTTAATGTTCTGAAGAGTATATAATTGTGCTTATTTAAATATTTTTTGCAGTTCTCATTTAATCTACTGTTATTCGACAAATTGTGCAAATGAGAATACACTGTATGCCTACAAAAATTATTCGTTTGCAAAATAAACACCAGTTTAATATTCATCTACAATTTCATACTACTTAAAAGGATTTCATTAGTATAGTGATTGTAATGAAAGAATATGTGTCATGACATGCCTAGAGCGTGCGTTTAGGCCAGTAACAAATATCCAGCTGTTTGCTTTTAGGAAAGTATTCAATTATGTATGATGATAAGTCATTACTTTTACTCCAGGAGCATACCTTTTTCATACCGAAGTGCCTTCTTTGTTGTTTTAAATGTTTGATTCATTTTGTCATCTAAATATTTCAATTTGTACTATCTAATGAAATATTTTCTTTTTATTATTTATCCTTGTTTTTGTTGTATGATTCAACATGATCTATTATTGATCTGTTATAATTGAATACCATCTAAATCATTAAAGTCTGCGGAAGAGTCTGAAGAGGTGGGCACTTTGGTATTTAAAAAAACATAAATAAAACAAAGCTACACATACACACGCACACAGACGTACATGTATACACCAACATAATATATAGCATAAGCGTATTTTTGCTCATTTGTATATGTGTTTACATATGTGTGTGTATATATAATGCATAGGTTTATATTTTAGAGGCTACTGCACTACTTTGTGTTGAAAGATACTACTTATATCTGCAGATTTGTCTATGGATGTGTATACATATATGTTTAGTCAACGTATTAGCATGCTGCTATATATCAGTGTATTTTAGTTTTCACTTAACGTTTAGAGAATAACTTATTATTTGCCTACATGGTATAAAACGCCTAGTTGTTATATCTGTTTTGTTGTGTAATTGAAATGTTGTAGTGTAGCATCTTATTTCAATTCTTCAAAACTTGACTAAACTTCAGAGGGAAGATATGAATCTCGAAGGTCGTTAAAGCAGTGGCTATCATATGATAGCATTATTCTGTGAAGGGCCCACTTTCATTAACAGCTTATTCAAGCACTAAAGTGGACCTAGTTAGTAGCGTATATATACATATATGCAAAGTGTCGGGTGAATTCACTAGTCTGTACAGAAAATTTTCTGTAGTGTTACAGAATGAGGAAAATGATTCATGTTAGCGAGATTTTCAGGCTACTATTAGAGTTATTCTAGTTTCCCACCGAGTAATACCACTTAGTTTTATCAGCTATCAACTTATGTAATAAATGTTAAATCAGATATTCGCTGAAGATAATTTAAAAACATTATAAATTATTAAAATATATAATTATGAGTTGTTAAACAGCATATTGGTTCCTCGTACTTTCCGTTAGTATGTTATAAACAGATCCTAGTATAGCAATGTAAATTCTGTTCATAGAGGCGAATATAAAGCATACCATAGTTTAGTTACTCTGGATTTTCACAATGCACTATGGTGTGGTTTCAGAAAACTTGATTCCTTTAAAACGAGATGTAAATCTTGTTTATTCCTACGGTTTCTGCCAGCAAAGACTTGTGACTAGTATCAGTCCTAAGGTTTTCACACTTCCCATTGGAAAATGATATATAAAAAAATATATATTTAATCGCCCATTAGTCTCAATAAAGCCATCAAAATGGTGAACTGCTTATTTCTCTTTCTCAATGGAACTGCATGACAATAACTTGACAGCATGTTGAAGATTTCTACTTTTTCATTATATGTATTCTCAGTTTGAAAACTGAAGATATCTGGAGTTATAAAAGTGAATATATATATTTTATCTAATTCTTTAATATGTTTATTATAAAGCATGAATAATCTGTATAGTACATATATTTATAGAAGCTGTTAGCTGTATCCTAAATGTTGTTCGCATTTATCTAGCAATATATATATATGTGTATGTGTGTTTATGGTTAAGCACAGTTGTGTGTTAACTTAGTGAACTCACCATTTTTAGGTCATCATGTAATTTTCCTTCTTCAATGTTTTACTCTTTTTTCTAGGAGACTGAGAAAGAGAAACGTGATAAGGTACGTTGATAGTCTTTTTTTTATCTATTGAACAAACTGCAGTCAAAACGTATAGTTCCACATTTAAATGTTTATGTCAGGGTTTTGTTTTAAATTACACACTTCACAGTTTACTAGTCAGGTCATGATTTCCGTTCTTAGTCAATAGCTATGTCACGTAAATTAATCTATAAATCCATGAGTGATAGTTGTACCACGTGGTTATGTTTACTGTTTCAGTTAAATATTTCTTGCAGAAAGCAGTGTGGAGGTCAATGTACACAAAACTTTAGCAAATTAAAAATAAACCGGTAGGAACTTTCATAAGAATGACCGACCATAATAATGATTACTACGAAAATTAAAGCTGATAAAAATATTGATACTGTGTTCTAAAGTTGTCTTCTGTGTTTCTTAGTGAAAAAATATTTTTTGAGCTCTCTGGGCTTTGTTGTTAACTAATGTCACTTTAAATTTGTGTCACAGACAATTTTTCTTCTTCCGAGGAGTTTAAATAACTAAATCGACACAGAAAATTTCAGGCACTCTTATTTTAAAAATGAAGATATCTTGATTAACAGAATGCTTAGGTCTGAGATAATTGAAAGCAATTGACAGAAAGCTCTGGATACTGATCAGAAAGGTTTATCTGTAACGTCAAAGCAGCTGACATTCGCCGAAGATTCGAATCGTTATCACCCAGTGTTGCAGTTAGAGATGTTATTAATGAGCTACTCAGGCTCATGAAAATATAGTTGTAGAACTGTGGGATGGTGTTTTTACTGTTAAGGTTAATCCTGAATTCCGTACTTAAAATAACGAAAGGAATGGACTACTACTTGAGCCATTCTTAAATACTTTAAAATTGGGACTAGGTTAACGCTACCGGTATACTAGAAAACGTATATCCTTTCACAAACATGATCTCAATAGAATGGCAACTCACAAATTTATCAGCAGTGTCACTTCCGCTCGTAGTTTGTAGTCTTCAGAGGAACAGATGGTTGTGGAGATGAAACAGAGTCTGAACTATACCAAGTTATCTGAGTAAATATAAACAATAATATATTGTCGACCTTTTCCCTGAATGACCTTAAACTAAAGTATTGTTAAAACACTGGGTTTTTCGCCTTAAAATAACCTGAAACCTGTATTTACACACTATTAGATAGTTGGTTATCATAATACCACTTGATTAAGATAAACATATCTAGTTTAACACTTTGAATTAAGATAAACGTTCTTGAAATAAAAGTCATCAGAAATATTCACTATCACTAATTTATCTACTTATTTGAAATTCAGTAGCATGCAGCTTACACAGTATAATACTGCTATTTGGTAACCATGTCAAAATAGAATCTGCATGGAGGATTTCATCATGAGCTGATATCCATAAGAGAACCACTGGAATCAAACAAAATCCCTACGAAACCAATACTTGAAAAATAGAATCTGCCTCGACGAAGTGGATAAATCTTACTCTTTTGATTTGAGTATAATCAATTAAAAAGAATTTAGGAGCATCAAAAATACATAGGAGCTACTACAATTAATGATAGTAACGTGCAGTTAAAACGTACTAAAACATTTTCGATATTTGACTTTGTACTGAGAATAACATACACAATTTAATATCTGTTTCTTGTTTTCCTAGTGGATACAGGTACTTCATCTAGGAAGTTTCGTTGCAAAAGCTAGACGCCTTTTCAGTGATTAGTTCCTATGACTTTATGACTTAAATTCTCATGAAATCGCACCTTCTGTACATAAGAATTCAGTAAAAAAAATTGCAAGCTTACAATAACATTAAAACGTGTAAATTGCATCTAACTGTGTAACATTAGCAATGAATTCTGCATTCTTTGAAATATTTACGTTGAACAGTATCAATACAAAGTTATAGCAACATTTAATTTCATCATTTTGTAGAATATAGTCCACTTTTTATTGATTCCAATGTCTACGTTCTTAAAAATTGAAAGACAAATAAATGCTGGAAGTTGTCTGACATGTGAACCAACAATATGGCTTATTTCGTGTGACATTTTGTTCAGTCACACATTTAGGCTAACAGATAAAGCTAAAATGACCCATATACGCATTATCAGTGTGTTCAGCTATTAAATTGACCTTAAGTGTACATATATTTATGTCTGGTAATAATATCTATCTCACTGCTCTGGCATATGAATAGACAAGTTAGTATCACACGACTATTCATGTGTGTAACACGCACAAATTATGAATATTAATTAAAGCATTAAACTTACGTGGATGTTTTGAAAAGCTTTTGTTTTATATTACGATGAAGAAACCATTTCAAGGCAAAAATAATATTCCTTAGGTTGAAGAAAATCTCTCTGACGAAGGCATGCTTGACTCTGTAATACATTGCTTCCATGTTACTTTGGAAAATGAATCTTTAGGAGGACTGTGCACAATTATCCCACATATTCTTTCTTGTTATGTCATATTCACTATGTCATTACTGTTTAACAGTAAAAGTTTTCAAGCATTGGTTCATTGGGCTTTGATTGATTTCAGGTTCAAAATCTCTAACTGACATCAGTTAGGGAACCGTTGGATACTAGAGAATGCTGGAAAGCTACTTCACCTTAGTTTGAAACTCTTTGGCAGTATGCAGTAATGGTCGTACCAAAGAACTAATCCACCACATTTCGGTTAGAAGTTCAGCTTGCTTACTATTCAGCCAGTGGGACGGAATTCAACTGTCCATGAATTCTAACTTTGCCTATGTATATATATAGTAGCTATTACTGACAAAATAGGATAATGTATTATACACCACCTTGCCCAGACGCTAATTGGCTGCACCTCTTACATTTCCAGTTTATCAGGTCGAGTCCGTTAGATACGATGTTAATCAGTCTTTTAAACACGCTAAAGGTCCTAGATTATGTTTTTATTATCCTTAAATAGGAGTAAAGGGAGATGAAAAAAGTCTTTAGATAGATATAGAAAATCCTACATGTTTACTCACAGTTTAAAATATTTTTAATCACAAATTGAGAAAAAAAATAATATTTCCACCTTTGAAATTGATTCAGTCTTCTTCTGAAGATGATAATGAAGACGATGAAGAGGTAAACAAGTACCATGTAGATTTGAGTTTATTCTTTATGGTTTTCTATTCCTCCGATTATTCCTTGTATTCACTTTTATTTCAGTCAAGTAGAATAGTGTTTGCTGTTCTACTCAAGATTTTTATTCTTATATCACCCGTAATACAACCTAGTATACTTTTAAACTGTACGAATCTAATGCGCTAGCCAAAAACCACTCTAATGCTTAATCACAATGTGGAGAACCACAATTACAATACTAGCATCATGCGAAAAGGTGACATAAAATCAATTGTTGGCGAAAGAACTCTGACTGTCTCAAACAATTGTCGAAAAGCCATACAGTGATGCTGATTGTACATTATTTCAAAGTGACTATGACAAACACTAAATTCACTGACAAATTGGAAGGGTTATCAACAAATGAGAGTTCAGTCTTCAGGAAGAGTGGGGGGAATAAAGTGCACGATCCTGCAAAATATGGTTATTATGAGATTTGACAGAATTAAGAGTATATAACATTTTATTTCTAGAGGATAATTCTTCACACAGATTGACAGCAGTTGAAAAACAGTGAAAAGAATAATTCTACCCTCGACGAATAAGCAACATGTTCTGCCTTCTCTATATTAATCATTTTAATACGTACTTTATTTTTATTTTCGTAGTTTGACTATAGTTAGATTGATTGTATTCCTGATTTGATGAAAACATTGTAATACGTTTTGTATGAAACTGTTTCCATAAACACTGAAGAAACATCACATGCGTAGCGACACGTTGTCTAATAAAATATATATCAACGAATTTGAAAATATTATCTATCGCGACACAGAATAGAAAATTGTAGTCATTTTACACTAAAGTAATCGCTAAAAAATCTTGTCTAGAAAGGCAATGAAAGCTTTGTAATTAAACCGTCTAGCTCAGAGAAAATTACTATATCAAAAATAACCACCTGAGCTACAGATCTTCTCAATTTAACTAACAGAATATAAAGCGACTTACTTAAATTTCATTAAAGTATGATAAATATTCACCATAAAATCCTAAATATCTTGGTTAGACAATCACCAATCAAACTGACCCACAATTTCTTTCAAACTGATAGATTCTTCAATAGTACATCTTGTCGCTTATTTCACTTTTCAAAACTACTGACTCCTACGAGTTGAAAAGTAATATTCTCATTCAGAAACAAAACAGGTTAAGAAAAGAGCAAAAATTAATGTCGTGAATTGTGAAATACGGATGAGTTAGGACACTCCATCATCACTGATATGAAAAGTAATTTGTTAGTTGGATTTGTGACATTTCAGTAATGCTTTCACTCATCCTTCTGTATGTGATATAAAGAAAAATAGAGGGTTGCCTATTACAAAATATAAATGCTGGTCTTAGATTTATTCACATATTTATCTTAGAGATTTTAAAGAAACAACAATATTTTCGATCATCCACAAGTAATTTGAAGGGTAAAAATAATCTTTCTTTTAGTGTAGGTCTTATCCAACTTCGTGTGACATTTGTTAGTGAACTTCTCCGTTACACTTTCCTAACCATAAGATAATAAGTTATCCTTCTTAAAGAATTGGAAATGTCACAAATTTTCTTAAAATATGAACTCAGGGACTCTCTGGATAAATGTATGCGAATATGGAATACCAATTCCATCAATCCCCAAAGTTTCCTAAACCATTTGATACAACATAATCAGAAAATTAGCGCTCTGTGGTGAATAATTGTTCTGAAATGATCACTTCCGGGATTTAACTGTACAACTTTACGGTATAGTGTTCAACCTTTCATAGGGTATCGGGTGTACACTACTGACAAGGGGTTAAGTAGGGTAACTCAGCGCCAGAGTGTGCGTTGTTTTAAAGTTTCTTAGCTCAATGTTGTTTTTTGACGTGAGGTCTACTATGGAACTATAATACAATAATATTTCTATTTATTATTTTGCAGTCGACAGAATTAAAAGCATGCATGTGATTTGAATAGATTTTGTTTTGTTTAATAAGCTGAAATCATTGATCACATTTTTTCATGTTTTTATTTTTTCTTCTCTCTGTGTTTTTATCTCTCTATCTACCTCTCCCTCTACTATTTCCTAACAATTTTATCACGAATGTTTTTGCATCTTCTGCAAAATAGGAGGTAAGTGAGATACTGCACATTTTAAACATCATAATACGAAATATCTCTGTGATATCGTGTTATTACTGCTACTACTACTACTACTTCCACTGCCTTGAGTAGTACACGTACACCTGAAGTTAGTGTATATCATTCAATTAGTACAATTTGAGTATTCTGATGAACAAAACTGACTAAGTAAGAGAGAACTAACAGAAATGCATCAGTTGTTCGTAAATTTGATGATGACATGAGAGAGCGTATATATTTCTGAGAGTGCTTACTGTCTGCCAAAATCGGCAGTATCACTACTGGTGTCCGTACTACAAAGAAAGTATTGTTGCTGTATTTTAATTCATAAAAGAGTTTACTAAAGCAAAAGTTATTTAACTTTTAATAAATGTTTTTATTGGCAATAACCAGTCCTCTAAATGTTTTGATAAATGGTGTTGTCAAGTTAATGATAGTTTTTACGAATATGTATGAGTCTGTTCTATATAGAACGGATAATAGTCTCACAGGGACTATCGTTTTCGACCATAAACTATTAAAAGGTAACGTTTACTAGTTATTTTATAAAATATTTAGACATGGCATGTGGTAGCCGTTTCATTCGTAAAAGAATAATCACTTCCTGTAGTAAATAAGAATGGCATTAAGGAAGCTCAGTTGATTCATTTAAGTAGATACACAACGGGGTATTTTTTTTACACATGCAGAAATGAACAGTTTTTTCTTAGATAAGTGCAACCTACTGTGGAGTTAATGCTTTGGTCATCAGTAAGCTGTAGTTTAACGTTTGATTTTGTAATTTCATGTGCATGGTGTTTTGATAATGTCATTTGTAATCTACCCTTTTTAATTCTGATTTGAATATAAGCCATTAAAATTTCTAAGAAAAATGACATAATTACTTTTATCCTATGCTACTCATTTTGTAGGAAGAACGTAAACGCAGGGAGGAAGAGGTAAGTTAGATAGCTCAATGCACCTGTTTTGTTTTCAAGTTTCTTTTACAATAAGTTAGTAGACACAGTGTGTTAGTTGCGCAGAAAGTTTTCAAACATTTTAAGCACTGGATGCTTATTAGGTGGTAACCAATGTTATGTGTATTCCATATATACATAGTTTTACACCTGACTGGATTTTATAAGTCAAGTTTGCAATGTATTAGGTCATCAAGCTGAACGGTTCACCATCTCATTTCACTGACTGGTGCATGATTTTAGAAAGTTATGATTTAAGTAAGCATCGTATGACACTTTGAAATATAAGTAGTTATTCTAATACACTAATGAGTCACTCACTGGCTTACACTACCGTAGAAACAAAGAAAGGGCCGAAGACAGAGCCTATGAGATGAATAATAAGAAATAAATTCGAAGATACACTAAAGTAATCACTCTGAAAATACTCTTCTAAAACGATTCATTCATTTGGCTGTTAAAATAATTAATGAATAGGTTTCTTTAGTAACATTCTGTCAATTCTAAACTGTTCATGTGTTCAGCAGACGAATTATAATTCGATTTTTCATACCTCAAAGTCAAATATTCTTTAAGAGTTAAACTGTATCATATAACATCCTTCAGTGTGTAAATTACTGAATTCGTATCAGTCAACACTTGTGATGATGTTGTTCAGAATTTGTGTATATAATTTAAAACTTGGGGATAAATTGTTCTGAAATTGCAACTCTTTCGAAGTAATTCAGCGTTTGTCTTTCTTGGTGACCATCTATTAAGCAAAAAGTAATTTTTCACCTCTCCCCCCCATCATCATCCACTTATATATATATATATATATATATATATATATATATATATATATATATATAAATTTACATATTTCTATATATCTAATGTATCGAGAATGCTGTTATGTGACAGTAATATATGTTATTCCCTCCTAAATAATTTTTTTAAAGTCAGTGTATTGCATGTTTGACATTTACTTTTGAATAGACAGGATGCAACAACTCGAATGACTGAAAAACTGAATGTTTTGCAAGCTAGCTAGAAGTGTAAATCAAGGTTAGACGTCAAGCTAAAAAATGTCAATGATGACGCGATAATAATATCTTGAAACAAGAAGTGCTTGCTATTCAGATCAAAGCGGTCCTCAAACACTGTGCTGCCGTTTTACTCATTTAATGCCGAGCTTATCAGTAGTGTACTAAGTTTGACTAAGCTCAAGCAACCATTTCGGTTCAAATGATGACATTATAATTGGCATCATTTTCAGACGTTATGTCCTGGTTGTTTGGGGAAATCTAGCTGCTTACACTGTAGGTCTTTTCTGAACATAGAAAGCAGTGACGACATAGAATAGATGTTAACTATATGAGTTGCTATAGATTAGTGAAGGAAAATGACCTGTCCTGTGTTCAACTATACCCTTTTTTCAGCGAATACATAATTTCCTCCGTGAATATTCTACGTCATACATGATAACGGTGGGTTGTTGCAGAAATATTTAGGTGGTTAAGGACGTGTCAAAAAATGACTTATGCACATTTAAGAAGCTTTGCCAATAAACGACAGGACTTATTACTATACCCAAGAATTGGTCAAATTTTAATATGGAATGGCTGGCTTATTGACTTTCAACTGTTGACCTGATCATTTTGACATAAAGATTCTAATTATTTTAACGTGCAAATACTGTTTGTTCCTCAAGCACCCCCTAAATATTCCTAAATTTGTCCAAAAAATTAGTCAAAGAAATTCAAAATGTTCTTTGCATAATTTACAGCGAAGTTATCTAATTTACATGGAAGTAAGTGCAATCATTCCTCCTTTCTTACGTAACGAAGACAAACCGCAGCCAGCTAATGTAGCACACTGGTTATACAACTTATAAAAGAGTATTTTCCACAACAAATTATACCAAATCAGATAATGAACTGGCAAAAATTTGAGAACCATTGAATGTGCGGAAGCATTTGACGTTTGTTTCGTCCTGGTTTGGAACTCTTCGGTAGTAGAGACCCATGACTCCACTGCACTTTTAGGTTAAAATACAAGATTGTCGATTACTCAGCTATTGGAATGCACTCCAGTACTCCATGAGTTTTAAATTCCGTTAATTATATCAACGTTTGAAAAATAAAATATATACTGAAAACATACCACTGTCACCTGCATGCTGTCACTTTTTGTATAGTCAACAACAATTCATCTCATATTCTGGCATGATGTAATTTGACAACTATACAATAAATAAAATTATTTGATGTGTACTATAATTATTTAACAAAGAGGCGAACATAACAATAATAATAATAACTCAAGGAAATATGCTTGCCTAGTGTAAAGTTTTTTACCTGTTAATCATTTTGATGATGTCGTTCTTGTTGTCGCCATTTTTTGTTGTTTTTACATTTCCGATTTATCCTATTCTATTGTTTATAAATTTAGGTAGCTCAAGAAAGACAGCGTAAACAAGAGGTTAGAATTTTTTTGCTAAAGCGAAGCACAAGCTAGCCTATTAACGAAATAATAACAATCTTTTACTCACTCACTACTTACCTGTTCGCTTATCACACTTGATTAATTTATCTATTCATTTACTCACTCACTCACTCACTCATCCACTCACTCACTCATTCACTCACTAACTTGCTTTCTCACCCACCATCTTACTTACTCACATACTTATCCATTCATATTGGTTCTAACTAAAACTCACTTTTTATTGGTTAAAAGCATTAATCAAGGTCTGTGACTGGTTACTAAGTTACTGCATTTCAGACAAAATTTAATCAAATAATCAGTCTACCAATGCTTATGAAAACAAAAACTACAATGCACGAATTTGAAAGAATAAAAATTTATTATTTGGCTGGCATGTTCAAGCTAGGTCATGACAATGACTGGTCTTAAATTGCAGTGTATCTCAAAGAATCTTCTTCAGTGTGCTAACACTTCTTTCCGGTCATTTAGAAGCAATATCCTATTCATTTTGGAAGCAACCATAAAACTTCTTGACAAAATATTTACTTTAACTAACAGTGTGATAACCGACTGATATCGAGTAGCTGAGGAAAAAGAAGACTTCTTTGAGTTACAATGTAATTTTAATGAATCAATTACTAAAACTATGAAAAAGCTCTATGCACAGTTTCTTTTCGAATTTAATTTGTTTTAAAACTTCAATCCTTTTTTCTTGTTGGTTTTATTTAACTGGTATGCCATACTAAGCCTAACCAAGTGCAAGATGAAATGCTACTTTGGTTGGTCATATTAGCACAGAAAATGTTTTCATATTAGGGTCAATGGTGTTTAAGAAAACCAAAGTATCAAAAGACTAGTTGGCGAAGTTCAATAATAGCGTCCCAGGAGTGTGAATGTTCCAATGACCTTGAATGCATGCTAGTCGTTGGCTGACGGCACCTATCATAGCTGAAATATCAACGCTATTCATCAACTAAGCAGCGAATTTCACTAAGATCACGTTTTTAAGTACTGTTTTGACAATATTTTAATAGTTCGTTAGGGTTAGGATTATGGTTAAGGCAAGTATCGGAGTTGGTGTTTGGATCAGGGTCATAATTAGCATTAGGGTTAGGTTTACGGTTAGGATAAGGGTGATAATTAGAGTTATTGTTAAGTTTAGGGTTAGTGTAAGGATTAAGGTTAGGTTTACGCCTATGAATAGATTTAGAGTTAATGTCATTTATTTTAATTTATTTTCTTATCCACATTTTCCTGGTAACTAGTCGTCGATCCGCCTACTGGAAACCATACTCATTCAATCGAGGGCTTTTTTGTTAGACTGCACAACAGGATAAGAGAGATAAACAATTCACAAAAACAGCTCATCTTTAGTCACCTTCGTGGATACATGCACAGAAAATAGTCTAACTTAGCAACTGGTACTCATCATTATAACTGGGACGTATTTGTAATTCATGCCAGAGATATATACCGTGTTTAATGCGATTTCATGCATTTTCTTGTAAATATACATCATTTTTTGTTTGTCACTCATTTTTATGATTGGTCGGCTGGAGGTCACTCGTGCGTTCGCATCCCTTGGGACGCTATTGTTGAACTTTGCCGACTAGTTGTTGACATATTCCTAGTTAGATAGGTGAAATAAAACCTGCTTCAGCTTTTATCGATAGAAATGGCTAACTAACAACTTTCGCTTCTTATCACAAATGCTAATTTTATTTACATCTTTTGAATAAAAGATTTGCTTTTAATGCATGAAAGTTTGGCAGTAATATGAATAAAAGCTTTGAAGTACTCCTTAAGTACCGAGGATGTCCCTTTAAAACACTAACCTCACTTAACTGAACTAAAAGTATCTGGATAGATATTCTAAAAGTCAGACGAACAGAGAAAATATGCACCAGTAAATTTTGTTTAAAGTACAACACTAGATTTACGAACCACCGCATGTTTCAGTCAATGTGAATTTATAAAGGTTTTGTAAAAGTGACAAGAGTTCTCTGAAACGAAGCTCAAGTTTTAACTTGGAAAATCCTATCTTTTTCAATTACATATCTACAACACTCTGACCTATACATGTTAGTTCATGTTGTGAACCTGTCAGTAAGACCAATTAAGATGAAGACTGAGCATTATTAATGAAATGTAAAAGGCATGAAAAAACAACTAAATTCAAACGTTTGAATCGTCCAACCGATCCAACGATCATGCATTATTTAATAAAAATAACTTTTAAATGAAATATAGAACTATAAAATAGAAATCATAGGTATTCTGTTCAGTTATCTTTTATTATTTTTATAGTTGTTGTTGTTGTTTTAATTCATACACTACAGAAAATTAGAATGACTGTTTAACTGTGTTTTTTTTCAAATTCACGCCCCTTTTTTGTTTTAATTTTACATTTGATTCTTTTTATTTATGCTTGAAAAATGAAACGGGCAAACTGAGTACGCATGCATGTTATTGGCTTATAGAAACACCAGAGAAAAGGAAACACATTTTAAATGACCGCATTTTTAACAAGAAATTAACCAAGTTTTTAGTGGAATGAAGAGGTGATATGAAGCATTCTTCCTTTTTTGATAATTTGCCTTATTTTTCTCATAATTTAAGGCCCTCTTGTTTTACATTTCAACTAAATGTGAATGAATTCTTCTCTTGTTTATTAAAGGAGAAGAAGCGTAAAGAAGCTGAAGAAGCCTCAAAGAAACAACGTAAACCTGGCCAGAAACGTAAAGGTTTAGGTGGTTTGTCGAAGGAGAAGAAACGACTGTTGAAAGTAAGCTAATCTTTTTTTATTATTAAGGTCAGATGACCTCTGCACTGGAATTAACTCATCATTTCTAGACATTTAGGTCAAATATTTATGTCTGATTGCTTACTGGTAAAAATTTAAGATTCATATCCGTTTAGCTTCATAAATAAAAGTTATGAAACGACAATAAGCATCAAACATTTTGTGAATATAGACAGAGAATTTCGAACTAAAACAAGCATATGTCTAAATACATAAGTCGTCAATAGTAAACCTTTTTTAAAAATTATTAGAAACGCCAAATGTATGGGCTGAATTCGATTTGATACTGACGAACTCCTAAAGTTTGCTGGGCCGGTATTAAGTCCGCAATAGATTGAAAGGTTGGGCGTGAGGCTACAAACCATACCTCATGAAAATAACACGCCTAATGGAAATTCAAAGCTTGAAGCCTTTTGTTCCACTCACGAAGTGAAGGAATGTATCTTATAGTGATTGTGATGATCAAGTATTGTAAGTACAGGCCTAAACAATCGGGAGAGAGTAGAGAAATGTACGGCTTCTAAAGAACTTAGGTGAACTGATAAGCCTTGCATCCATTAAACTTTATCGCTATTTATTTCAGACCAACAACGACTTCATTGAAGCAGAGACTGTCGCACATGAATATTCCCTCTCTATAACATTATGTTTTAATCAGACGTATAATTTCCATAAAATTACAGTGTTTTGACTAGATATAATTTAAAATGACTTGTACATTTCAAGTGTAATAAGGTTGACAGTGGTAAATAATGTACCTTACAGTTCATTTGTTAATAATATTAAGTTGTTCATTGATGCTTACAATAGTGAAGTAACTTTATATCCAAGCCAAACATTGTCTAGTTACCCTAAGATCCATACTCCAACAGACATTATCTATGAGTAATGAAGCTGAGTATATGACAGAAAAGAAAGTCTATAACCAATCTGTCTACAAAAACTATTTCCAAATGATTCCAGCACCTCTTTCTTACATAGAACAGGTATTCATGTCAGACTATAAAGTTCACGTGGTAAGCAATCGATGGCTTTTATGCTTGCTGGCACTTGTTGGTAAAATGGATTGTCAACTCTGAAGAGCTTTGAAAGTTTCAAACTCCTCTTCGCGTACCGCAGCTGTCAGACACCATCCAATGTATATTATGTAGACTCATATTTCCTAGGAAATTATGAAGCTTCTTAAATATGAAAAATACATCTTGCTAATGGCAGTCAACAAAGCACTGAGCAGAAATCTAGCAGGTTTTCCTGATAATTCTCTTTTCATTTTATCTTAACTCAGCAGTGAACTTCATTTGTTTGAAATAGGTCAATATTTCACTGATATGTTTTAACTCAATCACATTTGTTTCTAGCAACTGATTATGCAAAAAGCTGCTGATGAAATGAAAGCTGAGATGAAACGACGACAGGAGGAACGTGAAACCTTTTTACGTGGGAAAGTAGAACCGTTGAAACTTGATGGTCTTGGTGAAAGTAAGTGATTAAAGAATTTTATTTTAGTTTTCTTATTTGGAAATAGAAGAGTCAGAGGTTTTTGTCATGTTATAGATAAGGACATTGGGTTGCTTAAAATCAGACAAAGAACTGCCGATTCTTCAAAACAGTAACTTTTAATTTAACCATCTTCTTACAGTATTTGTACCTAACTAACAGGAAAATCGTTTGCCTATTTTCGAACATTTAGAAAACCTTTCTTCTCCACTTTCTGTGATGTTGAAGACACTAATTTCTCTTCTAAGAGTTCAGTCTGTAACACTGAGTAGAAGGCGTCTAAGGAAAATGTGCCGTTTTAACGACTGGTCTATGAATGCATACTAATCACTGGAACTTTTAGGTTCTTAATGTTGACTGCACTCTTTTTTATTTCATGTACAAATTGCGATTTCCAAAGTCTAATTAACATGGGAAACAAAGACAAGTGTTGACCAGTTACACAATATGCTAGCTGCAATACACGATAAACCAATCTTTTTCGAGAAAATCTTCCAACCGTGGATCTATTCTCGTCTGACATCTATAATAATGTCAAACTATAAGGTTAAAGGATGGTGAAAATAACTATTCTGTATTGCCTAATTTTCTCACATTCAAGTATGTGTTTATGGTTCTAGGTTTATTCTGAATTATTAATTATATGTGCTGACCAGCATTGGGATCCAATATGCGCGTTTCGTCTTATGCCAGAATCATCAGCTAGAAGCTCCTGCATCTCTTGTCTGTGATGGTGCGAATCAAGTATCCATTGTTTCTAACTCCAAAGTATTTCCCGTTGCTAGCTACCACTAACAAGTTAAAATAATGTTAATTTCAAGGTATCGTCAAAGCATCCATACTGAACAACGACAATGTTAACAGTGACTGAATATTTCTGTCTAAATATAATTAGTCGGGGGAAAATTCAAAATAACTCCAGCAAATACTTTTAATTATGGCTGAAATGTGATCTGATAGAAAATCCATGATATTAATACTTCCTGTTGTGATTATAATCCTAAACTTTGTGTAAATAATGTTGCTGTTCACTTATTTTATTTTAATTTCTTTTCTTTAGATGACTTAACCGCTAAAGTGAAGCAATTGTACGAACGTATCAGACAACTTGAAGGAGATAAATATGACTGGGAAGAAAAATTAAGACGACAAGATTTTGAGGTGATTTCTCTTATGAAACAAATTGTTTTACTTGTGATACATTTTTAAGAGCGTTATGAATTAATTTACAGATTGCGAACACGTATTTGTGACTTTCAGACACAATTTTCTGCATCAGAAAATTTAATATTTGCCATTTATTGCTTACAATATATGAGACGGTCCTCCTTAAACTGACCAATGCATAAATAGTTAATTTGATTGAAGTCATAAACTGGAGAATAGACTATTTTATACCTTAAATACTCCAATGTCGAAGCCAACCATCGATCTAGAAACCAATGAACAATCTGATCATGTGAATATAAAAGTTAATCTTAACCTAATGGGGGGTGATTGGTGGTGAAATGAAATTCTAGACGTCTGCAGAATAAGAACCAACAGCCTGTGAATTATTAGTCTGACACACTAACAGTTGAGTTGCAACACAGTACTGCTGATCATTTCACTGCGATCACCGTAGATCATGAGATTAAGTGATACGTTACTGCTCAGCTAGGTCTTCTTCTGTTAGTCTTCACCATACTGGATTAAATGGAGTGGAATAGCTTTCTAGTTGATAGTGAGAAGACCTAGACAGGCAGCTAGTTTTATGATAACCGGACAGTAACTTCTTATTCATTCACGTGACGGCTTGGCATTATCTGTGGTGATCACAGTGACTTGATGACTAGTATCTCGATGGCATAGTTGAGCCAGTAGAATGATTTGAATCCTCAACTTCCTTTCACCTTCAGTCACCATCCACTAGAAAAGTAGCAGTCTATCAAGTCGAGACTATAACAGATAGTCTCACTATCATTTAAGTTTACTTCAAAATTACTAACACAGCAGTATGCTTAAATTTTCGCCAGTGCAGTAATATATACTCAAATGTAATTAACTTATTAAATGAGCTTTACAAATAAAGATAAGCCATGAAAACTGTGCTAAAATACATATTTCAGGAACATTTGAATGATGAAAATCAAATAACCTATTTGAATAGACTTGTAAGAGACTAGGCGTGTTGCTTTTACGTAATGCTTAACCAGTCTTCATAGAATCGATGCACCCTTGTACCTGCTTTGTCAGTAGTCAGGCGGGTACACTACAAATTCTTAGTATTCATGTCATTTAGTCGCATCCTACAGAAAGCACGAGACACAAATTGGTGATAATCCGACTGTAATCAATAATTCTGCTAATTAAAACGAAAAGTATCTACTATTGGACAGTTGAAAACAAAACAATTATCTTAATTTCAAGTTTAAAAATTTTTAACCACATTTCATGTTTACTCTGATGTATTAACGTAGTCCATTATATATTTACTAGCAAGTATTGTATACAGTGATTTAGCTTTGTACATGATGCATGCTGATTAGTGAAAAGTTAACTTCAATGTGTATAGATTGAATGTTTTCTCCATCAAATCTGAAAATTTGTATGACCATCAGTCAAATTTTAATAAAGGTCCTACTTGATATGATAAATGACCTGATGATTCAAAATATGATTATATTTTCATGATTTTGCGAATAAATATTATCGCTTTTTAGTCAAACAAATAAATTTACCCACCTAACGAGAATTTATAATATGCAGTCTTTAGTGTTTTCCAAATATTATAATCCTGACTGAAATCTATGGTAATTATCATTGAACGTATTGTGAATTGATCTTTCAAATAGAGAGAGAAATGGTAGTTGGTAGCAACAGTTATCTGTTCGTTCATCGAAAAAGGGATTATTCACTAACTCATACAAGGTCAAACAGTTGATTTACTGATCAAAAGAATACATTACTGTTATCAAATCATTGTGAGGAGATGATAACTGAACATTATCATTAAACAAAAGTTGAACTAATGACCTCTGAGAAGTGATCACAATTCTCTGTTTACTGAACTGTGAGAACCATCTCATGACATGGTTTCCAGTTAAACTCAAATCATCTACAATCATTATTACAATCTCTGCAAAGCCGGATTACGTAATCCAATTTTTAAGCATACTAGACCAGAAATGACAAGATACTTTACTGAGCGTCTTTTAGTAAAGTATGGATAAAAACAAGCATTTGAGAAATATGTATTGTGATTAGAAGTGAATCTAAAGACAAGAGGGAGCACTGAAGTCATCCCATGAAATCACCTACCAGAATGAAATCCCATGTCATAATATAACTAAACCATAGCCTAGTGAACAGCCATTGATTCAATGTATATGGTTCACCTTATAATTGGTGATGTTTAAAAATCAGAGATGTCTGTTAAAACATGAATGACTGACAAGTTTGATGTCACCATTCGACTGGAAAAGTTGTAGAAATTAATAGACTTCATCTAAATGACTTATTGTACTGTAATTCAAGGACTAGTAATGTTACAAGGTAGATTTCCTCATGAACCGACGCCAGTCATTAAAATTCGAGGAGCACTGGATATCTACTTAGTCCTAGTTTGAGATTATTCAGTAGTTAGCACCCATGATTATACTGAGGATCTACAAAATCTGACTAATAATATAAGCTTATTTGAAGGATACTTTGTCCGCTTTATCTCAAGAGAGTCAGCTTGGTGAAATAATAATTAAGGTCGATTTGATTCACAAAAAACACTCATCATTTTATTTTGATGAACTTCTGCTAAAATTGTCGGTATGATCCTGCAATGCTTATTCGGGTTTACAGACATTGTAATAATAAGTGTGGGCAGTAAAAAAATGATGATAACTTTACCAGTGGGATAATCCGGCTGTGTATCATCCCTTCAGTGTTGAGCTTAGCACAAAACTGTGACAGTTCAACCGAGACATACTTCCTAAAAGTACAAATTAAAATAGATTCAGAGAAACTGTAATATAAAGACGACATTCACGAACGAAATAGTAATTATATGTCGGATAATAAGAGTTTGATGGATATTTGGGGATCATTAAATGCCTATTGCTATGCTTTACACAACAACTTGACATATGTATTCTATAAAAGTCTTCCTGTAATTTAATGTAATTATACTACATTCTTCATATTAGCCAATATGTGTGACTACGCCTGTTGAGTGTTGCCATCTGTAGTGGTGGTGGTGTTCAATAAGTAACTTTTAAGGAAAAAGAAACTTAACATCAACAAACATGTTTTTTTCTAAACTCTTTCATATTTACCTCCACTATTTCTAAAAGTATTCATTCAATTTTGACCAAAACAGAATTCGCTGAGCAATAAACAATTACACTTTTATTCATTTTATCCCATTATTATTTCATCAATAGATCAATGAGCTTACAATCAAAGTGAATGACGTCAAAGGCAAATTGTAAGTGTTTATTATTCTATATATAGTATGAGATGTTTGCATAAAACACTGAAAATGTACATTGAGTCAGTAAACAGAATAAAAATAAAAGACAATACAGAGAAGAAAAATTTCATCTTATCGACAACATTTACAGATGACTTCACTGATAAGAAAAATGTTTTTCCCGTACAGTTGTCGTTTATTTTAAAAAAGCAAACATTATTTACTCAAGTATTGATTGGTTGAAATTTTGCAGATGTAAAGAAAAGATATCATCTGCTTGAACTTTTTGATATAAGAATAAAACTTGGGCACTGTGGTAGAGTGTAATTCCATTATGGGTAAATTTTATTTTGATAGAGTCTCACAGTGTTATACAGTAATATTTACTGATCAGTAAATATTACTGTATAACACTGTGAGACTCTATCAAAATAAAATTTACCCATAATGCTTGAACTTTTGTTCATTGCTGAGACTTAAAGAGAAAAACTCTGATTCGTGTCAAACTTGTATGAGACGCAAAACATGATTTTCAACAGTCGTTTGTTTTCCTACCATCTTATTTTTTGGTAGGACATGTGTGTGTGTGTAGTTCAAAAATAGTGAAATTTTCTTCTGTCTTGTGGAGCTCAACTTATTTACACTGATAGTGATAATTTTGGTTGATCTTGAAACGTTACCTGATTAAAACTAGCTTAGGAGGAAGTTTTTCCTTTCTATTCGTTTAAGTTCCAAGGGCAACGTAGGGCTTGAAGCTAAAGCTTAGAAGTTTCAATAGTGGTGGTGTTATTTTTTACGGTCTGGGGATCCTAGTCTTATGCAGAATTCACCCCTATACCAGATTTTCTACCTACTTGATGAGGTTTAGGCGTGTGTGGCCCGGCACTCGAATCCAGACCACATACGTGGATGATGAGCTATAATTCATTCTGTTTATTGACGACATTAGTTTTTATCTTAGATAATAATTATGGACGGTGTACAAGAACTAGAGTTAACAGCAGAAAAATACAAGACTTTCATTCAGCAGCTGCCTAGCTGTAACTCCTATCTGTCTTACAAGGTTCAAATATTAACTTACTATTACTGGTCTTCACAAAGTTATTGTGCCCCAGTGCTGAAGAGCTCCAGATTTCACATAGTTACTTAATTACTTTATACGGACACAGCTTCGATCATAGTACTCAACTGGCACCTATAATTAAACTTCATGGCTTATTTTTTAAAACAAATGTAACAAAAGTCAATCAGGACTAGTCAGATTTGCATCTCTATGGACAAACACATGTGGGGATATTGTTATTGCTTCAAGTACACTCAGCTCTACTAAACTACAATGAGTATTTCACTTTGTATGTCTATAACACTTTGCATTCGAAACCAAAATATTTAACAATGTGCGATGGACAATTATAGAGATTTTCTCGAATAAGCTTGACGCTCACTGCAGAACTTTAATCTGTTAAACAGCTATTTCAGTCTCACAGAGATAGTCACTTGGAGCAATTAATTAATCTTTCTCGTTTTTTTATTGAAACAATAATTGTTATTTCAATGAATTCTTGAATACTTCATTCAATTTCTACAGTGTGAAACCAGTCTTAAAGAAAGTGTCTAAAACTGAAAGTCATATGGCCAGATTTGAGAAGAAGGAAGGCGGACATTCTCTCTCTTCCTTCCGTAGTCAACTCAAGTCTACCGGTCATAGTAAGTATGCTCTAGAGGAGAAGGATGAACCTGTGGTAAGTCATAAGAAAAGCTTTTATCTTAAACAGAGTTTGAAAGGTGCTATTTATTACATATGACCATACTGAAATCATAATTTTCTCTATTTAACTCAACTTTCAATAGTTGCTGATCGAATGAAGTAGGTAATCTTGCTTTTTAGGTTGGCGCATATGCCTCGGAAATCCATCAGATATATTATCATTATTTTGTTCAACACTCTTTTTAAGTTGAAATTTCTTCAACATGATATCTAATAGGTGACGACATATTTTAGAATATAAGGACGCTGAATACAAACTCAAGACGAAGAAATAAAACATATCGTGGCAAAAAGAACTATTCTATATTTGCCTGGTCTTATGATTCTCATCGCTTACATTGTATGTCTTTAGTAACACAGTTCAGATAATAAAAAGGACTGCTCAGCTATGAGTAATATAACAACGATATTTACCGATGACTGATATAGGTGGTTGGAAACTATTCCCATCAACCAATAGTGTTCGCTAGCCAGACCTGGGTGATCTTACCATCAAATGACTGTTTCCCCCACTCATCGTTTACCTGAATTTACTTATTTCAAAGTTCTATATCAGTTAAGAGTATCTGAATTCTGACCAGCAACTTCAGCGAACCAGTAATAAAAAAGAATGAATTCAAGTGTTGGTTTGTAGGGATTTGATTGGTTACAGGATTTTCACCATGAGCTGACATTAGTTAGAGAACCATTGGAAAACCTGGGAGTAATGGACAGCTGTTTCGTCCTAGTTTGGGACCCTTCAGCAGTACGCACCCACCGAGATTCGAACCCAGGACCTTCTGGTCACAAGGCGAGCTCGTATACCATTAAACCACTGGGACCCGATCCAATGGCCAGCTCATGAATTCTAACTTCTGCCAATTCACGACATAGCGCGATCCCTAGCCAATGTCTTCTGCGAGTATTTGTCCTCACACCCGACCTGCACCCTACTGGTCATGGCTTCTCACTAGAACCCCAGGTAACTACCAACCTGAATAGGGCAAGTCGCTAGTGAGCATCTCATTGATATTCAAGTGTTGGTTTGTAGTGGCTTAATGGTATACGAGCTCGCCTTGTAACCAGAAGATCCTGGGTTCGAATCCCGGTGTGTGCGTACTGATGAAGAGTCCCAAACTAGGGCGAAACAGCTGTCCAGTACTCCCAGGTTTTCCAATGGTTCTCTAACTAATGTCAGCTCATGATGAAATCCTGTAAGCAGAATGAAATCTATCATTTACAAATTACACGGCCCAAGGGGAAAATTCACTACAGTTTTCTTTGTCAACCAAAAATATTCAGATCACAGCATGAGATCCGATAAGTAAATACTACCAGCTCACGTGAGTAGTTTCCAAATACTTATATTAATCAGTAGTGCATACCAGCAGACTATTTTATTTATTGTCATCAATGGTGTCAGTCAGTTCACATATTGTCGGCTGAATCATTTTAGTTTCGACGGGAAATTGTAGTGAATTCCAACCTGGAACTGTATTATTCACAAATGACGAATCCGATTCTATGAATAATATAACCGACTCAATTTTCATTTAATATTGGAGGTTTAAATGAAAAATATAACAGTTGAAATCTAGACACCAGTAATGAATCAAATCACTGAAATGAATACTTCTGGATCAAACAATTTTATGGGAAGAAATCCACTAAAATATTTCGTCTTGATAATGGCTAGCAATGCCTCCATCCAATTTGAAAATCTACTCATTGAATATACTTGGACATCACTAAGTAAAAGTGTCTTAGATTCCCTTTGAGAATCACTAAACGCAAAAGCACTAAGATACAGTCTAATGCAATATTTAGGTTTCCCTTCTTGAAACTTCAACGCTAAACAGTGAGACTGTTCAGTTACTTAAAATTAGCAGAAAATGACGACTATTAGACAAGTACTTGATGTCTGTCATTAAAAGTTTGAACAAGAAACCCTTTGAAAGACCGTAACTCTTTACATAATCACGACATCTATGTTATCCATCAGTCAGTCAAAAAGTCAGTTGAGTCGTTAACAGTTAACAAAATGAAAATTTACTGAATACAATTCATCTCATTTTTTTTTTGAATCATCTAATGCCCTCAGCTGTTTATATTTAAAGAATAATGCATTTTGTCATCATGTCATATCAGCAACAAGTTTAATAGAATGTTAAACAGAAAAGAAGGCAGATTATGTAATCCAGTTTTGATATAATGCTTTTAACACAGAGTTTATTCAGCCATTTGACATATATATTTAATCATAAGACATAAATTGCTTACCCTGGAATAACTTTTTAAATAAGTGGAAATTTCAACTATATGATATGAATATCTTGAACTTTATTATACTATTCATATGAACAATATTAGTTATGCTAAATAATGAAACTGAAATAGGCTCCACTGTATGTAGTAATAAAGATATCATTAGTTTATTAAACGATACTCCAAAACTCTGCGATAGTAAAAATCAATCGACGAGGAATTTAAAGTGATGTAAACAAATTACAATCGATAGCCATTGTACAATAGGTGGCCATTGTGACCTAGTAAATAGTACTCTAGCGTTTGAAACGACGAGTAGTGTATTTGAGTCTCAGTGAGAATATGACTCATTGGGGATATAGCTATGTACGGATGATGAGTTCCAAATAAGACGAGACGCGTGTCTCAGATTTCACGGTGCTCCACCATTGGTCACATAACATAATACAATAATAGATTTCAAAAATTTCGATGTTTTAAGAATTTGTTACCAATATGTAAATCATTGTCTTTGATCGCTGATCAAAATTTGATGATGAGGAGGAGAGAAAATAGGAAAGAAGAAGAGCAGTTTTTCTGGATGAGATAAACTTAAGTTATACACCGCAAGAGTAAACTTTCGAAGTTTGGAGGCCAACAGAAACTCCTTGTTGGTGAGTTTCATTGAACAGACAATGTGAACTGACCCAACATTTCTTGTTGGTGGTCATCTGTCTTCCACAAATATGTATAATACTTGTTTATAACAGTGTAAACATGTTTATTTTTAAAAACAGGAGAAAACTAGACCTGGTTTTCTACACGAACTTCTACTTCATTCAAATGAAAGTCCTTACTATAATCAATTAAACATTTACACAGAGAAAAGAAATATACTTTAAGAATACTTCCACAATATTTCTAAGGTTGACAGGGTGAAGGTCATTAAGAGAATATTTCATGCTATAGTTTCGATTTCATTAGCAAACTAGATCAGAATTGTCTTCTTCTGGATTACCTGAATGATTCTACAACTTCAGATGTTGCGGGAAGGGAAAAGAGTATTTTTCTTCTCAAAATATTTGTCCTTTCGTAGTGGTAGAGTGACTTTACCATTACTGAACTTACATGGCACTGACAAAAAGATATATGGGATTTTTAAAAATGGAAATGACCAAATTATTACAACAGAACAAACACTATAAGTTATGATCACTTACGATTAGATTCTTAGTAGAAAAAGGATACAACTTTCTCTCATGTTCTCTTAAATCTACTCCTTTACTAAATTCTCATAGTGTTCCCTGTACTACAGTAGTTTTCATCCCCATTATCGAAATTTGAGTAGGAATACAGCATGTGCTTTTGGACCATATTTATGTTAAATTAGCTTGACAGTAGTTAGTAATGATTAAGCAATCTCGACTAACTTTTTTAAGAACACATTTTACTATCATGATTTGAAGTCATATATTATTTTTAGTTTGGTACAAACTATTTCGAAATATGTGGATGATAATTGTTTGTTAGATGTTTTAGTAGTGTGTTTTGTGAATTCTACTTATGGAGTCCTGCTTCTGAAAAGAAATGAAGCATCTCGGTTAGTCAGAAGTACATAAAAACTGTATCCTAGAACTAGAATATTGAAGAATAAGGCTCATGGAATCGCCGTAACCATTATTACGAACACTTGCAAAATTTACCGACAAAGACGTTCTGTTTTTAGTAGATTTTTGCACATCAGTTAAATATTATCATAGGCATACGTTGTAACCTGCTACATTGCAAGAATTAACGTAGTGGTCAAATTCTAGAGATTAAACTAAACTCTTTAATGTTCACATTACCCTGATTACTTATTAACTAATCAGAGTTTTGAAAACTTATATCTAATGTTCATTAGCTAATACTACTGGCGTTATGACTTAGATAGTTTTTCTATTTTTATCTAATTTCAGCATCGCTTAGTAAGATTCCCGATCTCTATAACAGTGAAAATTCACCTAACTTTCTATTAAAATCCTAAAAATAAGCACAGAAAATAAGTTAAGCTCTTCATGCTAACTTACGGTTAGATATTTTCTTCATGAAAATGTAGCTTTAAAACTAAACAGTCTGTACTAGTAATTAAAAAATAATATGCAAGGCTTAGAGGCTTTTAGTTCAGCTCATGTATTTTACTCACCCATGAGCTTTTCTAAAAACAACCATCTAAGCTTATTTACAATGGTGAGTAATTTGTCAGAAACAGAATGTTCTTTATGATATAAACTAAACCTAGTTTGTAGTAGCATGATGTTGAAGCAACAAGGTTTCCAGCCAATCATAGGAACCAGTAATATATGTTAGGCAGAGCGAAGCGATTTACTGTGTTAAAATGATGACACATGAATGATTTTAAATGTGTATTAAAATATGTGAAACACTGTCTCCTTTATTCCTTGAATAAACAGTGGAACGTATGACTTCAAGATTTTGAAGTTTCACTAGCGATGGTGTTGTACTCATACGAGATGGAGTTGTCAGCCTAACATCTAACCTACCTTTTTTTCTGGGCCAACTATCGGCTAGTTGACTAGGTGAGATTTAGGAGTGTATTATCCAAGAGTCAAACCCGAATTTTTCATGTGGCTAGTCAGCATTCTACTATTAAACCATCGACCCACGTTTGACATACTTCACATGTATTTATTTGCATGATAGTAGTTTGAATTTTAAAAGGGTAGATTGTTTTAATTTGTAAAAAATAGTTCATTTAATCTTTTTTGTTTTGTTAATGATATAATTTTTTTGTTTTTCTTTTCTTTTTTGTTTGCATCCGGATATTTCTCTTCCCCGTACTAACCCTATTTCACACACCTACTCCACTTAATATCCACATAATCACAGAGTACACCCAAGTAAATGGCTCTACTCTCCCCTATAATATTACTGAATATAACCAATGGAATAATAATAATAACCAGTCAATTTATTTCCTTTCAATAGACATTATGCTTATTTTTATCTCAGAAAAAAGTATACTAACTCTTGAACATTGAATGGTGCTGTTAGGCAGAGTGGTGAGAGCAAGCTAGCGAGTGAGTACAACCAGAAAAGATAAGAAATAAAGTAAGTCTACCAAAATCATGGAAACCAATCTATCCTGTGTCATCGAATTTCACCCTATCTTTTATGCATTAAAATCACGTACAAACTTCACTTTAGCTGGTATTTTTTAAACAAAAAAAATATTTACTTGGAATTTATTCTGTTTTTTTTCACATTCGATCATTTCTCTTCTTGTGCATATTTTTTACCCCCTTGATTGTTCGTTTTATAATCGTTCAATGTTCAATTAATGTTGTGTTTGAATGTGTAGAAAGAAGGTTGGCGCGGTCAATTAAAATCTGCTGAATAGACCTATTTGTGAAGAAGTTTCATATCTATATATGTTCGTTTAACATCAGAATGGTAAATATGAATGCATAGTTAAAAAAATAATTCTCTCTTAAAAAGCGTGCATTTACGTTTGTTTAGTTACGTTCCTATTCAATCCTCAACTGTTTTGTCTTCATTATTATGTTCTACTTCTTTGTTTCAAATTACCAAATAAGACTTATAAATACCTCTTTATTTTAGGTGTAATTATGTAGTTACTCCCCTTTTCTACTTGCTTGACTTTATTCTCATCAATTTATCTTGTCAATGTCTTGAACATAATTCATAAAAATCATGATTATGTGATTCTTAGTGAATGTATGTTTATTAATTATATTAATTATTTGTGTTTCCTATAATCTACTTATACACCTTAATATGCGCAATTTACGCTACTTAAACAAAGCAGCTTTGAAGTTATTATTCCTAATGCTTGATTTGCATTTCACTACTGTTTTCCTCATTTTCAAAAGTTTGCTGATAACTATTCAGATAAAAAGTCGGTTGTCTCACTCAGTTACTTGCTCACTTACCTACTGTTCTGGCTAACCCCCCAATGTTTAGTGTTATAAATATATGCACATGCAATATTATATCTTCACCCATACACTTCTTTTGTTTCTTCTTCTTATTCTGCAGTCAGCTGACTAATATTTAAATGGTGTGCAAAAACACTGTAAAACTTGATTTTACTAATTATTACAATTGAAATTTTCATTTAACTCTACTTTGTCCCTTTTCACTTACATACATTTTTTCTTTTCTTTTATACTACACTCATGTCAACTATTATTGTGCTGCTGCTGTTGTTGCCTAATAAACCTTATTTCCACCTTCCCATCGTAAAAATCAGTGAAGAAAAATTGAAATAAAACTACCCAACAGTTTCCTGATTTCGTTGTTATTTATAATTTCAATACTACCGTTAAAAAGAAGAAAAATCGAAATGCATAGTAGAAATGTGGATAACTGCAAACTGTTAGGCCCTGTTGAAATGTGTTCAACAGTCATTCAATGATTCTAAGACATTAACATAATTACACATTCGCATAATTTAAGATTGGACACTAACACGTGAAAATTAATCTTAAGCTAACTAGTAACTGACTACAGGACGAAGTTGCCTGGTGTACCACTAAGAAGTCATGACCAGTGGGGTCCACCAGGTCGAGTGTGAGGAAAAATTCTCTTCAATTTCATTGGCAGTCAGTCGTGCTAAAAAGAAACAAGTTGACAGTAGTTGTAATTCATGAACCGGTAACTGGATTCCGTTCAAGTGGCTGGATGGTCAACAACCTCGCCTCTTAAACTGGAGGTTCTGAGTTCGATCCTTGGCAGTAAGGTCATGGCTGTGTACTGATGAAGAGCCCCGAACTACAATGAAACAGCTGTCTAGTACTCCTTGGTTTTCAGTGGTTTCTTAACTGGTGTCAGTAAGTGATTAAATCTGAAACCAGTCGAATCTGAACAAACTAAAACTTGAATATTCAGACTGAATGGTTGATTGAAATAAGTATTAAGTTACTGTGTTTCCAACTGCTAGACTTCAGTATTAAGGTTTAATATGCAGAACGTTTGAATCATATAATAGGAAGAAATATTTTTAAGATTGACGAAGTACTACTACAGACCAGACTGCGAAAGTAGTGAGTATTACTCATCCAGTGATCACTTGCATAACATACCATGCAGTTAGTAATGACGTACATCTACTTTGTGAGGGCTAACAGTACTACCTTGTTACACAAACCTTGGCAGATGCAGGGAATGACTCAAATCCGTGACCCAGTAGCTGATAGTCGAACACCTAGACCAGTAAGTCACGACCCCACTTGAACAAAGTTTAATACTGTTCAACTTTCATCATAAAGAGTCGGTTTTATCCATCGGAGTTATTTCTGAAGCTTTATATCAGTTCATAAAATCTCATTGAATATTTGCTTATTATATTACTTGATAAGCAAAGATACCATCTGTATGACGACAGGACTTCAAATTAAAACTAAAAAATTCATCAAATAGTAGCAATATTTTATACTGTTTTGTGATAGCATTGTCAGTTTCATCCAAACTGATCAGAAGAGGGAAATATCATGTCAAGCCATGTTCCTGTTCACCCTGTCTTATCGAAAAGTCTTTCAGGCATTTTTGATATTAGGAGAAAACTTTCCAGACTGTCTAGACGATCAATATCTCAAAATAGTCGAAAATGATCATTGTTAGGAACCATTCAAACAATAAATCTTTAATTAATATGTGACATGGTAAATACTATAACGTAGAATATTAGGAAAACACAGTCTTAACCTGCGGTTATTGAATAAATTAAAGATAGTTTATCATCCCATATTGTTTTGATCAATTTTCCATTGGTTAATCTATCAAAAACAGTATAATATTCAGAAAAGTCAGCGGTTGAATTTAGATAAAAATCCAAATTATAAACAATCTGCAATGAATAGGTTATCAGATTCCGCTGTTAAATTAGTTTTATTTTCTCATCTGCCACCACTTACTGCTTTTGATCTCTATAGTGATTTAATTTAGTGAAAGGAAGGTGTTAACCTGCATATAAATATATATATATGTATATATATATATATGGATATGTGTTGCTAAGTGGCAAAAGTAAGAATTCATGGGTGACAGAATTCCATCCTGTTGGCTGACTGATTAACTGACTCGCCTCGTAACCTGAGGTTGCTGAGTTCCATTCCTGGTGGTGGGGTTATAGGTGCGTACTACTAAATATTCGCAAACTAGGAGTTAACATCTATTCGCTGTTTCTTGATTCTTAATGGGTCTCTAACTGAGGTCAGTTAATGATCCAACTTGAAATCAGTCAAATTGACGTATATGTCGGCTACATAACGGTCAGTTCAGTATACGATAAATGAATTTTGATTTAGTGATTCCTACTCTTATGGCTTGTTGTTTTCAAACCCAGGTCTCTTCAAAACCTTCCATAATTGCGTACTTAGAACTCTACTATTAAATAAAATGTTAGGAAGTCATATTCATAGGTCTAATTACTGGATCCATTACGTTTATTTCGCTTCATAGTATATGGCCCAGTGCCTATTGGAAAGCTTCATACCTGTGCTTGCAACAACAAATACATTCAGCTTGTTTGAATGAATTAAAGTTACACTACTTGGTACTATATTCAAAAGTAGTTTCCATTTAAGAAGTTAAACTAGGCTTTTCAGATTTTCATCATACTATTAGAACATTTTATTTTGATCTGTTCACAAGTTAGTAAGAACTACTCATCTTTATTTTGATGTATAAATTTAATGTACGATTAGAATAGTAACGAAGTACTACTAAGATTCAACTTCATTTTTTATGCAGACCAACATCATCATGACAAAATACACTAACGAATGTTGGAAAACGTTAACAGAAAATTTGGGTGATGAAAGAAGTTCAATCAAATGGTCCTTTTAATAAATTTATAAATGCATTTCCGCCATAACTCAGTGTCACCTGACCAATGTTTTTTTTCTCACTCCTTGCTTTACGAATGGAATATAGAACTTCATGTTTCAAACTTTGAATTTTTAGTAGCAGTAGAGTTGTTTTTACAGAGTGATGTTGCTAGTCACGCAACCACCCACCACCGGCATAACCTTCCTTCTTTCCCATATTTATTATCAGCTAGGCAAGGTTTAAGAGTACATCGGCAGGAAATCAAACCAGGATCAGGTGCGTGGTTGGCGGGCATTCTACGACTGAACCATGGATGTACACTTGAACCATTTATCAATATTCACGAAGTAAGAGAAATGCATAACTGGGTCTGAATATGATCGAAGGAAAAATTAACTGATTGCTAGTAAAAGAGGAATAAATGAAGAGAAGTTATTATTTATCAGATATACATTCCAAAGAATCCTTGTCTTGGACAGACCTTATAAGATAGTGATAAATACACAAATAACTTACATGCTACAGTCTATATGTAAAATTAATGAATTCTACTATATCTCACTTTGGTAAAATAAACAAAAAAAAAAGGCAATACCAGGATGGTGAAAATTGTAATAATTAAACTCATATCCACTATTTTTTACTTTAAGAGAAAAACAAATGATGTATTGATTATGCTTAGAGATTACTGTTTAGCACATGCACCACAAATTTACTCAGTTCTAATAAAGTGCTGAAATATATAGTGCATCGACGGCTCAACGCTAAAATGCTCGCCAGCCAACAAGGTTTTCAGAGTTCAATCTTCCAGCTGACGCATTCCGAAATCTCGCCTAGTTTACCAGTCTGGATTAAACCCGGAAAAGAAGGAAGGATAGAAGTGAGACTAGCAGCACCCCTCCCCGTAAAAACTGGACACCACCGCTATTGAAAGTGCAAAGATTTGAGTGCATTGTTCCACTTGGAAGACAAGAAATAAGAAAAGAAGATGGAAAAATACAAACATAGAAGATAAAATTGCAATGATATTCGCACTTAAAAAAGTATATGCTAATAAGCTCAGAGAATGTGGAACCTTCAGTCTCTTACATATTAACTGTTAGTTGAAATATTCTGTGTATAATTTCATTTGAAAAGCTTTTAATTGTAAATAACTACGCATTATTCTCCCAATAATTATTAAATAGTGACATGTGACTTTCATCGTATGATAGACTGGAACATTGAAATGAGATGGAGAATAATTTATCAGTTTGACCGCATTGTTATTAAAAAGTTGTATATAATGCGTAGATGAACATTTTTACTAAGGGTCATATATATATACATATAACATATATATATATATATATAATTTGTATAGGTCATTCTATTCATTCATTCACTCGTTATAGGGTGAATTTTTAGTCAGTTCAAACAAGTTCAGCTGTGTATGCAGTAGTAATTATTTAGGATTACACAACAGGCATTCATGCCAAAGTCACATGAATATAAATACGAATTGTTATTGTCTTTTTCCGGTCTGTCATGTTTAAAATGGATAAATTTACAGTCTGATATGTTGTTATATGCACATAGAATTAACGGAGATTTTTATAATACAACGTTAATAATGTTAACTCAACTACTGCTGCTATTGTTTTTTGGTGTCATGCAATGGATAACCTTCTACGATAAATATATTGATGTTTGTATGAAATAATATGTAAGATAGATAGGTAATCTCGAAAGCAGATGGATATTTGTAGATATATGCACCATTTTCCAGTTATCCTTACTACTGACAAATCAGTATATCTACTGTAGTCCTACAAGAGGTCATTTGTGAACCTGAGTAGCTCAACTGAAACTTTTTTGACTTCAGAACTGGATGACGCCAGCTCACATCTTAAAGGAGAAATATATACCTCGTTGACGAGTGCTAGTAGGCACGAAACCTAGGTTTAGGATTTACTGTCTATTGCCTATAACCATTCAGCGCTACATTATTTAGATTTGAAGTCAAGAAATTGCCAGTAAGCTACTTGGGTTAAGTAGACAGATAGGTTTTTGTTTACATAGCCACATAAGTACTTCCGATTCTAAAGGTCTATGTAGATCAACAGTGAATATGCAATCACATCCTAAAGCAGGTCTGTATGAAATCCATAAAAGAAGCATTTATTTACTTAGAGGAAAACGTAATGTGTTTTGAACATACGTTAATGCATTCAATTAGTTTATTGTTCCCCCTACTAAGAATAGGCCAGTGGAAGTTTTGTGCACATGTGCATGGATACGCTAAATTTGTTTATCATGTTTATAAGGCTTACGAAATTGTGCTACAAGTCTTTATTGCTAATGAATAAATAATTGGGACAAACGACAATGAAAATTTTGCTTCCAGCACCAATCACTATCAAAGTGAGAGATTTAACAGAGGTTACCTCCTTCACTTATCTAGGAAGCAACTACAGGAAGTCGGAAACGATGAAGATGTCAAAGCCAGACAGAATCGGAAAGGCAAGATACGCATTCATCAACCTGAAACCAGTTTAGAAATCTTATGTTGTTACTCAGCATAAAGAACAAGATTAAGATATTCAGCACAAATGTCAAGTCGGTCCTTCTAAACTGGTTGGAAACTTCCGCTGCGCGTCACGAAAAGGATTTCCAACAATTTACGGACTTTTATAAACAACTGTCTTCGCTGGCTCCATACTGAAGATCAAATGGCCAGAAAGAATTCTTAACGAGAAACTTTAGCCTGGAACAAACCAACCAAGAGCCGATCGCTCAACAAATTTGTAGGAAAAAGTGGAGATGGAACGGGCATACATTGAGGAGACTTTCGAATGACATTGCGCACTATGCAGGCCGTTGCTCGAGTGGAATCCCAATGGGAAGCAACGAGTGGGTCGTCCTAGGGTGACTTGGAGATCATGCAAGTTGGAGAAGATGAGAGATTATGGGCAATCGTGGACCCCGCTGAAGAGGATGGTGGAAAATAGAAGAGAGAGGAAATGTGTTGTTGAAGCCCTATGTTCCGTTCGGAACCCAAGGGAATAATTATATTATGATAATCAACTTTAACTCTGTACTCTGGCACTAACTTGCGGCTGATTAAAAGTAGGGAAAACATTACTCTTTGTAAATGGTTTAGTAGACAAGTTGGTTTTAAAGGTTCTTTTCTGCTAAAAAATAAAAGTTATCATCGCAAGAGAAAAAAGAAAAAGAAGCCTCATATTCTCTCGTAAATAATGTTAACGGCGAAGGGCTTTGAAAGGGCATTGTGGTCGTCTGATTCTAATCCGGTTTTTGGTTTAAATTATCATGTAACTAAAGTTATAGACTTTAGGGGTCTACAAGTTATAGTTTAACATCTCTAAGAATAGCTCAAAGGACAAATTTAAACGTCACCTAGTCAAGCCTTAGTAATCCGTTTTACTAATGCGCAGTACCTGAATGAATAATAATATAGTGCAAATTGGTTGAAATCGTATATTCTGTGTTACTTAATGAACTGAAATCTTTAACACGGATAAATTCAATTTAGTGTAGAGTAGACACAAGATAGATGCTTCAAAAATCGTAGGGTATCTTAGCTGTAGTAACCGTTGGGATTCTGAACGGAAGTTTAGAAGTTGAATGACGACAGTACTATGCAGTATAACTGGAGTAGTAATGTGAACATTTCATACACTCAGTTATCTCTATGTGTTACGATCATTATTGCACTTGATAGAATTATTTTTAAACATCATCTGTATTTCCCTGCTGCACTATAGTTTGCTTTAGAATAATCATGTTCTAATTACCTTAGTTGTATACTGACTGAGTCTCAAAGTAGGAATTCGCACAGAAGTTCAACACTTCAAGTTTCTGCTGTATACAGCATATAGGCAGAGAAAAACTCAGAGGAAATATGATGGGCAGAAATGTGCGGGAGAAAAAATGGTGACATGCAAACTTAATGGATCCATAAAGATTACAGAGAGTGGATACATCTGAGCCACTGAGAACGATTTTGAGCCATATCACCAACAGTCTCCAACCATTGACTCTTAGCGTATCGAGGATTCTACACAGAAATTCTACATCTCCTTACGTGAACAGCGCAAACCAACTGTCAAACACTTCATGGATTGATGTCAAGTTTCAATTTGATTAACCTTAACTCTTTATCAACCCAACTCTATGTTAGCTAACATTAATCAACAAAGATGATAGCTTGGCGTGTGTAAAACTCGTCCGAGCCACCTCAATCGATTCACTTGCCCTCTCTATCATTAACACTGTATGCTAAATCTCAATATTACTCCACATATCGCACCACGTCACACGGGAAATACCAATTAATAAATGCCAGATGGAACTTTTTTATTAGTCCTCAGATTTCATCAGCAATCAGTCCATTAGGGTTGATGCAACTTCCTAAATAAATAAAGTGGTCGACACCCTCACCCACTTTACTCCTTATCTTCAATAGGGTGGCAGTAGTTTCAAACCAGTCCTGCAACATCTCCTTACATTTGACAGGGGTGAGTCGTATGCTCAACATGCTAAGATTTCTGTTCAAGGTATTCAGAAGACTGCACTTTATCAGAGTCTTTACTTAAAAGATGTACACTACAACGGTAACTGGTGTGAATTTTAAGACTTTAGAGTAACTACTGAATTCCAGCTGTCAATTTTGTAATGTGTAACGAAGTACACTCATGCTAAAATGCACTATAATGTCAAATGTTACAAACGAAAACCCACTCAATAGAAAGCTCTAAACCCAGGTTATGTTGACAGACAACATGAATTATCCCAAGCTTCCAATCAATCATGGAATATTATTTACTTACTTACTTTCAGATTCACTTCTTTTTTCTTAAAAAATATTATTGTTTCTAAATGTAGACTACATGACAGATAAGTACAATTCAACAAAATAGCAAGAGATTGTGATTGGAAAAAACAGCGAATATCTAAAAAGGAAACGTCATGCAATGCGGATGGGTTTAATGGTAGAATATCTTGTAGAAAACAAAACAAAACAAAAAAACACAAGATGGACAAGTTGTTTTTCATATAAGTTAAAAGAAAACAAAATGTAATAATGATTCCCTAGTAGAAGATATAGAGAAATACAGAATAGGATAATTCGTTACATGACGCACACACACACACACATCATTGCAGAAACACCACAAACACAAGTGTTTTCTGTAAAGGTTTCAATATCAACAGTATCAGTATTAGTATGATAACCCAAGCTAGAGATAATGATTATCAAATATATCCTTGTCTATGAAACTCCAGAACAAAATACTAATATATTACTAACAACAGAAAGTAAGAATATTAAAATAGAATATCTAATAAAAGAGAAAAGTAACAGGCATTGTAGATTGAGATTGCACTATCATCAATGGGAAATACAGAGTCAACGGTAATTGCTGCACTGGGATCTTAGTAAAAGAAGAAGAAGAAATCATCACAATGTATGTGGGGGTGCGTGTGAGTCAGCAAATCGATAGAATCACATTTAGCAAGAGACAAACAATGCATAGTAAAGAATTAGTGCAAAACCATGAGATGAGAACAAGAAAAAGCAAATCAAAATACATGGACATTTAAAATTAAAATCAAAAGTTAAAAAAAATCACGACTAGGTTCGGCAATACAAGATACGCAAGTGACTGAGATTATGATAACAATGAATGAAAGGTATTCATGATAAAGTTACAACTTAATACACTTTTATTTTTAGAATAAGGGTTGTGTGTGTGAACCTGATCATATGCCAGAAGAAAAAAAGGTACATATATTAATCGAGATCAAAAGTGTAAAAAAAATGATGAAGTTTATCATACAACTTCGCGTGAAATCAAATCCCTCATGATATAACCAAGAAAAGAAAAATTATGATGAGTTCAGTGAAAGTAAATAGGATATTATTTGTATGAAATGGCACAAATACTACTGCAAAGTTAATAAACTGACAGAAAAGAAATAAAATGAACTATGAAGTATACATCAAATAGGCATACAGAAATGTTATTTTATTTATTCTTCTAATTTTTTTTCTTACGCGGTAACACTATCGCCGCCTATTTCAATTGTTCTAAGACCTAATTCAATGCGTTCTGTATCATCATCAACCTCGTCAGTATCTAAATGAGATGTAGGACTACTACGACCAGAACTGTAGGCACCAGCACTTGGCAACGGTGTTGACTGACCAGAAATTGATGGAGATGCAGGCGCTGAATACGGTCGACTGACATGGAAACTACGAGAAGATAATGCATCATCATTGTTGTTAGCTGTGAATAATTCAGGAGCAAAACTTTTCAAAGCCATTAGCCGAGCACGTCTATAATACTGGAAAGACAAAAGAAAACAATATTTTTCTTTCAAATGTACTATTAGTTAAACAGAAAAATATTCACTGCATTTTATACTATTAGTATTTTTAGCTTATAAGTGAATTTCGTAAATAGTATCAGTTTCCTTAACCCTCTTATTGTCTGTGTAGGCAAGAAAACTAGCTGTATAAACTCAAGGCCATACAATAAACGATGGTGTAGATAGTATACACTGCGTTAATAGATTAGATATAGTGAGATGTGCAGAGAACCTGGAACTTATCATATCTGAATTATTACACTTTTAATGAAGAATCCCAAACTAAGAAGTTAAATGAGACAGACTAACAGTTTTAACACTATCAGCCATTATCATGTAGTTTGGATTGCATCGGTCTGGTTACAGCTACAACTCAGTTACCCAGAGCACATTTCTCATGTAACACACAGTGAAGCAGTACTATTCACTGGGTGAAGTTCCGAACACAACTTATTGTTCATAGTCATATCAATTGTGACTAGACAACTTCGAAACTTGATTATCATAGTTCTTTTTCACTTTTCATTTGTCGTAATGGGTGGTAGAACTTTCCATATATCTGGAACAGGTGTTGAAGCATTCCTAACGTACCTCTTCTCAGTTGATTCGATAACCAAAACTTCAGTTATCAATTTTTCCTTCCACCCTGTTGTATCAGACTTTAAGACTCGTTTTTTCCCACCTTGTTGCATAGTTGTATGTGACTGAAATGTAGTGGTATTGCTGAGCTGCTTTCTAGATTTTTTATTTTATGAAGGTCAACTGATCTACATTTGCTAGATTTTTGTACTCCGGTTATCTAACTGACCCTGTCCTACTACTCTGATTTATGTATTTCGTCTCACAATCAATGCGGGGTACTAGATAAACTAAATTATTTCTTTTAATGGAACCCTTTAACTAACATAATTTGCTTCTAAGTGAGTTTGTGGATTTGAACGCCACTTTTATTCCTGCTCTGTCACAAATTTCATGTACGGTTTCATTGTTTCCCTTTCAGTATATATATATATATATATATATATATATATCCAATAAACAAATTAATATGGAATTACAAACTACCACAGTGACCAAGTCCTACACATATGTTAAAGGAACATCAAGTTATTCAAAATTACATTATATATCTTAATCCTTAGACGAATAGAAGACTTACCGACGACAAATTTTTCCAATCCAGTAATTCACTCAATCGTTCAGTACGATTTCTCAAAACTACACGCTGACGTCGTGAGTATTGGCAGAATTCCATTAAGTACTGAGTTCAGGGAAAAAAATTAAAAGCTACGTTAGGAATATATCCTGGAGATATTTTTGTGTTCAATTTTTATTAACTAAATAATTTTTTGATTCAAAAACTGTTAGTATTATTTCTATAAATGTATGAATTTTACTTTATATACACACACTTCTAGTTGATGTGAAAGGTAGAATATATGAAACTATAGACTTTTGAATAAAGGTGTCATTGTTTTACCACTCATAAGAGTTGGAACCTAATAATGAGTGACATCAAAATTGAATGTATTATCAGATACGACGGTTGATGAACAGGTGAGATTGTGGACTTTACAAATTATACAAAAGACTGTGGGGTTTGCCCACTTACAACATCTCTGGGTATCAGTTAAAGAAGTGTGTGTCGTGCAGCAGTTCGCTTTTTCATTCTTTATGGATGTGAGATATGGCTGTGGAAAGAAAAGTTATAAAAAGATCAGGTGTCTTTGGCTACAGATGTTTGCGTTCCAGTTCCTGTGTTAAATGGTGTAATTTGGTGGCTAATATTGCAGCTAGACATAGAGTTTTATTAATGAGGGCAAGTGAATCGATGAAGTTGTGAACCTATATCAACTGAAATGGCTAGAACACGTGGTACACATGCAAGGCCGTTTCTCCTTTGTCGAGTAATGTTAGCTGACATAGGGTAAGGCTTGGAAAGAGTTACGAGTGGTCAAATGAAAAGCTATCATCAATCTATGAAGTCTCTGACCGTTAATTTGAGAGGTGTATATTGTCTAGCTGGGATCCTTGAGACGCTAGGAATCAGTGATTGTAGAGTGTTAGTGATATGGGTAAGAATTGTTCTTAATGGTGCAAATGCATTCACTATTTGCAATTAACCAGACCCACTAATTCTTCATGTTTCTCCATGTAATCATTCTTTTACCCACAGATTTCGGTTCATTATGGTTTCTTTGAACTTCCATTTGTCGCTACTTTTGTGTGCCATATGGATGATGGCAACCTGAAGTGCTGCACTTCTGCATAAAGTCTTACCTTGAAAACTCCGTCACTCGGTCACAGATACTAACCATATCAAACCATAATCGTGCATTGATACACGATGGTAGCTGAAGCAATTCTAAGTAAAAAATACTGGGAATTATCGGGTCAACATAACACCATTCTATGAAGTTTATAATAGTTGAATTGAGTCAGTCACGTAACGGAAAGTAAGTTCTCTGGATGGTGTACTCAGGATGCTAAGAAGAATAAATAGTTCAAGAACCTGGATTAAAACCACCTTACCATTAAAATCCTGAAGAGCAAAAGTGTGGCTGACGGATCAACTATGAACTTAGTATAGAAGTGTATCAATTCAAGTTGGCATACTTTGGAAAGCACACGAACCGAGAGAATAATGAGTTGAAGAATAATTAAAATTTTCAGAATATGGATAGTAACAAGAAATGAATACTTCTGTGCCATTTTAACTGATTATTAATCATATCACCAAGGGTATGGAATCAGTGACTGTCAGTCTCTAGAACACTCTAAACAGGTAAATCATACCTCTAAATGTGTCTCAAGCCAATAGTCATAGACTTCGTGGATTGGTGTCACATTTTCATCTGACCACTACTTACTCGTTTTCAACTTCAGCTAACAATATTTTTTGTGGAAAGAGGTGGCTCAGCATGCATAACACACGCTCTAATCACTTCAATTGAAAAAGCTTCGCAAACTCCTCCACTGATTTAACAGCCTGCATCTAACCTTACTGTAACCTATCAATTTACTCCAACGCAAAAGATTCAATGAAGGCACCTATGGTGAACTGACACAATTTGTGTCATTCAGTTCAGCCATTAGTTTATTAAGACAAACTTATAGAAATCCGCCTTCCAAAAACTAGAAAACAAATTAATACATATAATTGTGCATCATCTTTATTTGACATTGGACAGAGAAATATAGCAACTGATGCTGGTGACATTTACTATTCATAAGCATATCAGATTAGTAATATAATGTAGGACACATGTTTTATGGTCCAAGAGTTTTGTTTTTTGTTTTAACTGCTAAAAGGGTATTCTATATAACTAGGATTTATGTTGTAGGTGATTCAAAAAACAAAGATTTGGTAATTAATCTTTCTTTATCCGCTAGAATTCACTGGACTCTAGAACTGTTCTTATTTTTGTTATTCCTTTACGTCCCGACTGAAACATAGGGCTTCAAGCTGGGGGTCTGAAGTTTCGGTATCAGAGGCGTTATATTTTTACTGGATGGAGTTGCTGGCCTCACACCCTACCTTCCTTTTTTGCTGGCCCTACTACCGGCTTAGTGAGGTTTAGGAGTGATTTGACCGAGGATCAAACCCGAACCAAAACCGTGGTTGATGAGCGTTCTACCACTGAACCACCGGAGGCAGAATTATCCTTATATTCCACCCTAACTTGTGATCATGGATCACAACAAACATTTGAATAGTGAAGCCAGTTCTTTGAATACTTCCTTTGGTATTTAAATCGGAATTTGGCATAAATCAACATTAGCATCCCAAACCTTTGTCTCCTTTATCCTCTACCATTACTAATCACTTTAAAGGTGGGAAAAAATCTGCTTCTCCCTATGTTTTTGGAGCTTATGAAAGTTTTCTTTTATTATTCATCAGAGCAAACAACGATTTAAGAAGCCACACGTGTGTCATGTGCCAAATAACTGACTCTAAACTGTTCATATCGGTTACTGTACGTGACTGTCATAGGTTGAGTTGACAGAAGTGAATGGCAATGGAGCACAAGAAAAAGAAGAACAAATAGAAACTATTTAGCCTACTTCAAAGGTAGTTTGATATCATCGTAAAAAAGGAATAATAATAATATACCTTGGTTAACTGTTGAATACTTTCTTCACAACTTTGATAACGACGATCAACAATGTATATACCATAAGATTTGGGATCTTCTACATGCTCTTCAATGAAACAACCGAATCCAGAAAGATTAGTGGTTACAGAGGGAATACCCATTACAGTGCATTCAGCTTGAAGTGGAAAAGGAATGAATATTACTATGACAGTAAGATGAACATCATGTAGTGGATATCATGAAACTACAGTATTTTAAATATGGTAAGAATAATTAACTACGCACTTGTCGCCATTCATTAAAAGCAATTCACATTACCGTAAACTGGTTGGACTGAACTCCGTCAACCACCTCACGTTGTAACCCTAAGATTTTAAGTTGGATCCCTGGAGGTGGGGTCATGAGTGCGTACTGCTGGAAAGTTCAGAAGTAGGACAAAACAGTTGTCCAGTATTCCTTGGTTCTCAACAGTCTCTTAACTGAAGTTAGTTCGTGATCAAACCTGAAAACAAATTATAGGTGTTTAACGATTTATCATTCTAACAACATTGGAAGTTTTGTAGTTTATCTTTCACGAGGCAACACGTGTTGTCCAATATCTTCAATGTAAAAACCTGATACTAAATTTATCCAGTAAAAGACAGTTGTTATTTCTGTCTACACACAGGCAGGGAATACTTTTCACGAACGGTAACGACCTTCATTTATATTGACATTATTTTTAGCCAAAATAAACTGTTCGGGCTAAACAAAAATTTAATCAGCCAATCACACTTCCAATATTTATAGGTAAATGGATGAAATTGCACTCTGAAAGGTGGAATGGGCAGTTAGTTAACTGTCTAACCTCACAATAATAAAATAACACTATTTGATAGACATACAGACATGTCTTACCTGGTGTATAACCCCATGGTTCATAGTAGGAAGGAAATACACCTAAATGGCAGCCCCGTACAAATTCTTCATAATCCATAGGCAATAGTGGATTAGTAGAACTCAGAAACTCCGGGTGGAAAATGACCTTCATTGAGAGAAACGGAAATATTTATATCATTATCGGGTACATATATATATATATATATATGATGCTGAACCCTCGTTTGAAAAGGCATAAAAATTACTCCCACACCGCATATTGAGTAAAGGATTGAACAAAAATACAAACAGAAGATTTACGGTTGTTACGGATGACATCTTGTCATATATGAATCTAATCAGGAAATAAATATGAATATGTGACACGGGAAGCTTCAAATCACACATAGTGTCCTAATAATTTACTGGTACTTACCAATGACGTGGGTATCTATTCTGTGTTTCACAGCAGAAAGCAACGAAGGTGGTTTTATCACTTGACATGCTACCACCAGGAGGAGTATAGGAACATGTCTTCGTATAAACAATAAGGTTATCAAGAAAAGCAGGGTAAAAACGAATATAATATTGAGCTTACCTTAACACGATCGTGACGATCGTTAAATAGCTGGCATCGGCGTAAATTGCATAACACTAAATCGATATTATCTTGAACGACATTGTGTGTACAAATAGGAGGTAAATTATTTCGTTGTGTTGCGTATATACAACGTTTAAGTCGATATATATCACCCTAAAAAGAGACCACAATACAATTTTAATAGCATCACCATAAATTAAGTTTGAAAATTGAATTTGCACAGTCTTTAAATTGTAAGTTTGAAAATTACCTGAGTAAGTATATCAGTTCCTTGGGGAATACGTCCACGAAGGCATACTTCAAACAAGCGATGCCCCATTTCACATTGAATTGAGTTCACAGTTTCACGTAATTGTTTTACTATAGCTTGAGCGCGAAATGAATCCACATTAAAACTATTTGTGTGGGCCGGAAAGATGAGAAATGCGACAACAGTGACATCAGTCTGAGCTTGCTGAAATAAATTTACAGCAATAGAGAATAACTGTGATGAGTTTTCATCTGAAAGAACTCAAAATCTCAAAAATTAAAACTAAGTATCAGACGGATCTTTTGAATAGTAGTAATTGATTGGAAGTAGTATATGGCGGGTAAATCCCTAGATTAATGCAGAAATAAATCTCACTAGAGAATATTCAAACTTAAAATGGTATACGATAAACTTGGAAAAGTAACTTCGATAAAAGACCGGTTTATACTTTCCAATCCTTAGTTTACACACGTATATTTAAATAACTCATGGAGAAAAAAAGTTAGGGAATGGTAACTAGCAGTGAAATTTAGGATGTACACTCCATCCAATTTAAGACTGCTGATCTGAATGTACTTGTATCCCCAATAAGTGGTAGTGTTCTCATTGAAACTTGAACTGCTCACCCATCGGTTTAAACGCTAAAGAGTTATCCACTAGGTTACTCGACCACGAGATCCACCTCTTGTGCAACAGGTATCAGTTATAATTTGCTTTTAGCTAAATTTCTAGATCATTAGACATCATCGAAGCGTTCGTACCAGAAGCTGACATGTTAACAGAGACTGACCATTCCTGTTCAGCATAACCAGTCAACTCAGAACGCAAAATAATCCAAAAATAAATTTAGGAAATACATCACTTGTTAGTAGCTCCGAAAACTGTTTATCTACAGCTTAGATAGCAAGAAGGTAGATGTTGTACATCGCCTACTGTTTACCAAGTCGCACTTCCCTTCTAAAGATAAAATCGAGACAATGACTACAGATACAAACTTCAAACTCTAAACTGTCAAAACAGAATAAGTCCTTAGATCACAGTAAAGAAACCTATGGAAACTGAAAGGCGTGTTACAAAATGCCTGTTAAAGTAAATGTACGCTTCTAAATTACGGCAGAAACAAGAGTATACAAAATTACCATAAACTGGTCGGTCGGTTTTCGACATAGAACTTTGCACATATGTGCGGCAGTTCAAGTCGCCACACTCCATGTAGCACACAAAGAGACGAAAGTAGAAGAACTGCATAATATAGACAGTAAACAGAGGTGTGAGACAAAGGAATAGTAATAACGGAGAACAAAACAGTTTAATTGGAAATCATAAGTCACAAGGAGTGGATGCATCTGCACCAGCCATTGAGAACGATGAGTTTGAGCCATGTCACCAATTGTTTCCAACCATTGGTTTTTACCGTCCCGAGGACCCCAACCAGGAAGTCTACACCTTCCTACGTGGCTTAGACTAACTGTTGTGGATTTCATTGACTGGTACCATGTTTTGGTTTGACCGCCGCTAGCTCTTTTCCAGCCTGGCCCTATATCAGCTAACATTGCCCTCGAGGAGGGCGATGACTAGGCATACGTAGTACATGTCCTAACCATCTCAGTCGATGTAATTTCACAGTTTCGTCGATTGATTTCCCCGCCTTACCTAGCACTCGACGCCTAACCTGAATATTGCTCACCTTATTATACCACTTCACACGGGAGATAGAACGCAGACACCTATGATCGAACACAGATAATCTTTTCATGTCTTCTCCTTTCAATGGCCAGGTCTCACAGCCATAAAGGAGGACGGAGCGGACTGTTGAGCAGGCTGAAGGTGAAATGGGCCAATAATTACAAAAAGCACCAAATATTGCAATTTATTACAAAAATATCTTATAATAATACTTTCTAACTCTTACACTTGTATGTCTATTCACATCTTATGGCACACAATTCAGAACCTTTGATATTAAATTTTATGTGGACTAAACAGTTCTTGAGAGTAATTAGTCATATAGTAATAATTACTACAGGTGACGTGTGCCGAGTGTATATATCCGTTTCTAATAAATAAACTACCTTGTTACTTGAAATAAAAAGACAATTTCTGAATATTAGCAGCTACAAAACAAATGAGACTGATACCATTGTAATCTGTAAATCCAGATATTTATGTGACCTCTATTACTTTCATGTTTAACTGGTTATATTTTGTAGTAGGCTTTCATTCTACACAGAACTAAAATCAGTCTAATAAGAACTAAATACTCAGAGTTACTTAGCAACCATTTGGAATTCCGTGCAGTTGGCTATGAGCCATACCTATTGCGTGAGTGTTGGTTATACTACCCCAGGGCTGCCTAAACTTCGGTGCAAGTAGTGAGATTTGAACCGACGATCCCCGAATTGAAGGCTGAGTGCATGAACCAATGAGACACAGGTCTCCAATAAACAAAGAAAATCAAAAATATAATCACACTTTATAACTGTACAGTGTAACACACATCATAAAGTCAAAAATAACCCCAAAACATTGACTGTTCCAATGAGTAATAAACTAATAAATAAAATGAAAAGAAAATTATTGAGAAAGGGACAAGGAATAAAAGGTATAAGTTAGTTTGCATTAAAAAGACTAACATACTTTTAGGTGATGATTAAGACGAGCCAGTGACTCAATAAATATGTCAGCACCCTTGTTCTGGAATTCATAACGACCAGCAATAAAAAAGTACAAGGTCTTATCAAGATCAAAATCATAATGCCTAAAACAAAAAAAATAAACAAATTTCAGAAGTGATTGTTTGAAACAGGAAGTCAGATTTGAAAGTTGAATTAACACTAAAGTAACTAACTTCTAACTTACCCATAGAAATGTCCTTGAATGAATTGATTCAACTTTTCTTTCGCCAATGCGTGACGATTTTGAAATTCATGCAGAGCAGCAAATTTAATAACATTAAGACCATTCGGAGTGATGACATCTGGTTCTCTTCGTAAAAGATATTTACTTTCTAACCCAGTAATTTTACTAACTGTTGTAAATGTATGCGCACAGTGAACACCGGCACGTTCAAGACAGTAACGATGATAAATATTTCGATCACCAGCTTCCTACGGAAGCAGAATATACACAAAAATTAGTCGAATAAATCTGAATAATTTCAAAGGCGCAAACTAAATACATAAATTTACTGGAAATCATTTTCATTTATACCCTAATAATTTCGTATGACTACCTACATGACAGTGTTTCTTATCCCTAAATAGTCACTGAAAAACGACTAGATTATTATAGGTGAACTTATGATAGAGGGGATATAAATAAACATCATGTGATAAAGTATTACGGAATTCGAATCTAAACTAATACCTAAAACGCACAAGAAATAAGATATCCCGTTACATAACTTTGCAGAAAAGTGTAACAGCTCTGATTACTAAATTTCCAAACACCAAGACACAGAGGAAGCGAATAATGAATACCGAAGTTTACAAAAAGATAAAAAAAATTCATGGACTTTTGGATAAAACATATATTGGAATGTCTTTATTTTAATGACGTTTCCTTTAGTAATTACAACTGAGAGATTTGATTCAAGAAATTGTAGTCACAATTCCAAGAAGAAAACTAGTATCAATAGAGTTTACGCACTCAAAGAATACGAGATATATGATAAATCTCCTTTAACTAAAGGTTCATAACGAAGACTTACGATAAAAACTCAGATATTGGTTAGCTGTCATCAGACAGTAAAATAAATAAAACGTTTACTATTCCCAAATGACTGGTGTTTCAATTCAATACCACAAAAAACCATATCAAAGAAATACGGAGGTAATGCTTGTTATAAAGTATTTACTTATACGTAGTTTTAATATTTGCTTTCCATTCCTAAATACAAATTCAAAAAGGTTAAGCTACCTTAGCTCAGTACCATTCGGTCTGAAACGTAACTCACTGAACCAGATGTATGGTGGGATATAAGACCATTCACCACACTTCTCACATACAGACCCAGTTGTTTCAACATTTCTAAGCTGGTCGGGATCGTAACTTGCCGGAAGCTGTGTTAAGCCGATTAGACAGTTGGAGAGCAGCATATTAATAGACAGATGCACAATACACAGTAAATAATCGCTAAATAGACACCCACCCCCACCAAAAAATGATATAACAGGCAAAAGCACAGAATGAAGATGAATGAAAAGGATTTTGTCATTTAATTAGATTTACTTGTTACCTACAATTAAGATTCTTGTCACCTAAACAAAGCAAAACTCAAGCAGGGGTCAAGTGATTTGTCTGGGAAACCTGCTTTACCACTCGATAAAGTCATTCATCAAATACAAGTGTGAATGCAAGCATGACTTAAATAACCATTCCTTTCTGCATTTACATATCTGATTCAAGAAGTACATTCAAAGTTACGCTTCACTATGTAATTTTACGAAATCTATTAGATGCACGAAACCTAAAATTTGCTTTGTCTAACTTTAACACAGTAATTTCACCTCACGAAAAATATAAACCAGAAAAAAATATATGATACAGAAGCATCAGTAAGAGGAACTATTATACACCTCTCTGAAGCACAAATAACACCTTCAGTGAGGTTGTTGGTGTCAATTTGATTGACTCGTCCTAATAAATCTCAGGCTGAACGAATAATCATGTGGAAAAGTAATGAATAATAGTACATAAGGATTTATAGCTAGGTATTAGCAAGAGCTTCATAAAATAATTCAAAAAGTGAAAATGAAGACAAACCTTGTCCAAATCAAACTTCGAAAGGTGATTATACAAGTCGACGGAAGATGCACACAAGTAACGCCCCAAAAGTGTTGCATGAGTGGTGAACACAGTAGCGACTGGCAGATGACGTGTACGTGAAAATATTAGGCCAATGCTTGTCAGCCATTCATGAAAATGTGCAATAATTGGCGGTTGGGGATCCGTTTCTAATTCTTGCGCATTTTCAGCAAACTAAAAACATACAATGACAGCAAATGATCAGGGAATGTACTTGGGATTTACCTTGATAATACTACCTCACAAGAAAAAATGGTAGTATACAAGCAGTTCCACTGGAAACTAAGTATACAAACTTAAAGAAAAGAATTACTTAATTATACATAAAAATAGACACTTTATATGGCAAATCATAATACCTTCGCAAAAACGATGTTATAAAAATGGAAAACTGGTAGTGTTAACACAATAAGTGCCTCCAAAATCATATCCCTATTATGGTGACCTCTACTTTCCAAATTTGCGTGAGTAATATGGTTGAACTTCTTTCCAAGAAATTTGGGCACAGAAACCATAAACATAAAGACGAATAAAAACTGATTCTCATTGTCGGAGTATTCGGATGCGATCAAGATAAGAGAGTTCTTCCATCTACCGAACCGGCAAGCGAAATACGCTTATCTTTTATAATAAACACAATCCAATGCTTCCCTTCTTAAGCTGTCCCAATGAATCAAAAGTGGGGAAATGCATCTATGATTATGGTTATAAGCCAAACCATTGAATTCATATTACTCAAAACACTATGTTATATATTATTCCCTATCACCAATAGGTTTTTTTGTACAATGAATTAAAAACTTTAAAATCTCATCTCTTTGTAGTAAAATATGGTCAATTTTTAAAGCTCTCTACGGTTTAATTGAGTCAACAATCTAAGTAATCACAAACAACACTGTAATTTTTAAAATATAATAACAGTCAAATTACTAGTTACTCACTTCTTTCAAAAACCAGGCGACAAGTCCGCCAAAAATGACAGCATCGTTACACTCACTATCGTGAACAGGAACGCCGATATTACAAGATTCCCATAACTCTTTCTTCCACGAATCGATCCTCCAAGCGGAAGACCCGATATCAAATAGGATAACATTTGGATAGCCCTCGATAAGCCACCGGCCGAAAACGATCTATGAATGAAAAATATCAATAATAATAATAAAACATAGCCCCGGTTTCTCACTTGCGAGATTGTGGTGAGTCACAGCATATGCTGTTGTTTTTAAAGAAACATAAGAGGAGTGGAAATATCTAAATCTGCTACTGAATTTCATTTAAAATTGTGTCGGCTTTACAGGTCTTCGATATGTCTGATAAAATGTTTTGGAGTGGTGAAAGTTGGGTTTTTCAGAATGGTTAGAAAAAGGGGCTTCGCTATCGCAGAGGGTAATAACAACACAATTTAAGAGGAAAAGGAGCCAAAGAAAACAAGTTTACCAACAGCGAAAAATGTTTTCTTTTAATTACCTCTTCAGAGTTGCATTTGTACAATTAATAAGGGAGAAAAACATATGTTGACTTAGTGGTATAAACAATAATCTGAAATTTAAATACACAAGCAAGTGAGAAACTATGTCATTTATTCAGAAAAAACTGCGCTTTGAGGGTTGCTAAATATACATGCACTACTTATTATTCGCCATATTAACCCTATTATTTCTAAAAATAGTTCCAGCACATGAGAGTAACATTTTAAAAAGTAAATTCTGAACAAAATGCGCATTTGTTTATCAGCCATTGCAAATAACCATGGTTCAGAAACATACTACTGAGTAGTACACGCATCCGTTAATGTATAATCAAACCTAATTGAAACGATGGACACTTCAAATTGATGAATTTACACCAAAATTTCGTTACCAACTGCTCCGGCGGAGCTGATAGTACCTCAGCAAAGTGGTTACTGTAGTTTAATAAAATATTCAGATATATATGGTTGCTGTGAAGTCTAGACAATTGTCCTTGTCCAAATGTCTCTTGTTGAAATCACAGTCAAATTGTTTCGTGGAATTACTCAAAATATTTCAGATTCCTCAATACATGACCTTAGAGTTAAGAAGTAAATTCTACACATTCGTTTTTTCCATAAATCACTGTGACAACGAATGTCGATTGCAGAAGTCCAAATCTGAATTCACACAGTGGTCACGTACATAATTTTATGGAAAAACAGGAACAATCACACACTTTTGTGGGTGAAGTCCTAAGACTTCAGGAGTATAAAAGTGACTTCTCTATAATTAAGAAATAAATACTGAAATGAGAGCACAATGCGCTGATCTACACTACTTACCTTAATATCATGATCACGCATAGCCTTGATGGTCCGTTTCAGTGCCTCGTTAGTTGGTTCAGCAACATCGACCTCGGTTCTCATACATACTTCGTTCAGAGGTCCTATCAAAATATAGCGGTCACCAAGTTCTTCAACCGTAGATGCGGCTTTAGTCCGAATGACAGTATATATTCCACCAACTGAAAAATGTGCAATATGAAGCAGATAATAAATTTTCTAATTTTTTGAGATTTCAGAAATCTGAACGACAAAACAAAGCTGCAAATGCCGAGTCTTACCCTTATTGACCACTTCCCAAGCAACTTCGAAAACATATTTGCGCTGATAAACTTCGGGATTAATTGAATGAACTAAATCATTATTGACTAGAGAGTCCCTGGCAAAGCGTCCAGAACTTGCTCGTCTTCCGATACACGACATAGATCGCGGGTATGAATCGTGACCCAATAAATCAACTCCTAATCGACATGTAGAGCAGATAAACAAAGAATTTCAAACAACAGTTTCCAATGTAAAAATACCTTATCGAACACTTTATTCCTTCAGTTTCATCAAATAAATTTGGAAGTATCGAAGACAATAAAAGAAATCTCTAAACTTGTTAAAGTCCGGATTTCATTCCGCAGGGTACATTTTATAGATAATTGGTCCACTACATTCACCTCACCCTGAAGGACGAAAGGAAATGAGATAACCAGATATTCGTTTTCTGAACAACTTAAAATTCACAGTAATTTTTGGTTTACACATATTTTCATAATCAGCCAATACCAATATACTCTTGGACGGCAAATTCACTGTCTTAAGCACTACTTTGCCGTTCAGATCATCTAATAACGTAAAGTAGTTTGGGATTAACACAGGACTTACTCAGCAATATTATTCTGACAGTGTGATATACTGGCTTCATTTGCATAGTGGTATTCGATTAAGTGTGGCGTGGTACATCCCTAGGTACTCTTCTTTACTCATTTCATGTAAATGGGATACTGTTCGCAATCAAATCACCTTATCTGAATTTTGCCAGAGACTGAGCTTTTTAAGGCTTTATACACAATATAATTCAGGTTGATCGGAAGATGATTTAGATCTTTTAGCTGGATAGCTGAACTATTATACCTCGGAAATAGATGTGAGTAAGTGTTTCGTTATTCATATTAGTTATAACAGCACTCAAAAATGATACACAAGTGGGCGCAGTCTACCCGATATCATTGGACGTACACACTTAAGACTGATCGCAAACCATGTCTTAAAACCGTCAGCTAACTGTGTGGCTATGATGCTGAATAATATCTAACGCATTATCGAACCTACATAAAGTTTATGCAAATTTCGGCTCTGATATTCTCCTTAAATTGATCCTTCACGTAGGTTAGACCACGCCCGAAATGTGGCTTGACACGAAACTTTTTCTTTTCTGAAACCTGAAACTACAGGCAGAGATTATAAAATCGGGCTAAAGAATTGTGTATAAGACAGAGGTTTAAGGTAAAAGAAAGTGACAAAAACGTCAGGGTAGTTGAGAACTGGAAGGCATAAATTTAGGTCAGATCATCTCTCAAAATATAAGTGATGATGGACCAGGAATGAATCATTGATAAAAGCTCTGTGGTGTCTTAGCAGTCGGCATCTTCCTTATAGGGCATGTGAGATCTCCCAAAGTATACTAGGTGGCTACCACAATAATAATCTGCTGCAGATTACCATTTCTGAAGCCTTTTTGCCCACTGAAAGAGCATGTGAACGATCTACTATCATTAAATCGAAACCTATATAAACTAAACCTGTGACTCCCAAATATTTATCATTAACAGACATCTCGTTGTGTATTCAATCTTGCTCAAGTCAGATCACCCAATTACAAACAGGGAGCATTAAAAAACGAAGGAAAAACGCCTCTGTTTCGCCAGCTGGCACAGAATTAGCTAAACTTGTCATCTACTAATTACTTCTTACGCTGATTAGCCAACTCTTAAAGGTTCCTTTATCCACTGGTGAATGATAAACAACACAACTACGTGCTCATTCCCACTGTAGTTCACTAGTCTGTGTGGTTGTTTGAAGTTCCATCTACGCGAATATCCGGTATGTTCACATTGCAGTAAGGTTAAATCGGTGTCATCTTGATGTGACAGCGGTTCAGTTGAATAGAATTGCACTTACTTTTCATAGACATAGCTAAATTTACATATTCTTTAGTCTCTCGATTATGCCTCGGACTCAGAGAAGACATTCGCGAAAGCTCCTCGTGGGTAGCCACTTATACCTCTAGATCTGAGCACAGTCACAGCCGTCTGACCTTTTAGTTCAATCCATCCCAGACTTGTGATCAAGCGCTCCCCAACGCCACTCTAAACAGCCGAGGAATGGTGAAACACTGACGCTGGTTTACAGACAGTATGAGGTAAAAGGAGTATAGACAGTGCTTTGGGATGAATAAAAAAATGAATGTAGTCAACGCTGTCATGCTCCTTTAAAAACCGTTTACGTATGACGTGTCTTGTTTCATCTCCGTCAGTAGAGACAAAATAGACATTCGTTGGAGGTGAAACTGGTGGAGTTCAACTGAGGTCACCAGTTTCCTTGGTCTCTACTTTCCATGAACCACTAAAACTGTCTACGATATTATGATTTCCAACTTGATGGTAGAGTTCCACAGTACTTCTTCTTTGAAGGAACTCAACGCTCAAACAGATGCTGATTCTCCCCCAGTGCTTCCCTGCGGCCTGATTCGTTAAGCTACTTTTAGAAGCTTATTGAAGTCAGAACGCATGCTGCATTTGTGGCCGCCCTCTTCTCATAACCTTCTGCAAACAATCTTACACCATTTGACAGAATGAAATTTCCGTATCAACAGACTCACGTCATGTCCTTGCCGCCTGTCGTTTATTCGGATAAGTCAGATGAGTTAACCCATCTGACCAATTGCTCAGCGTTATTATTCTGCTGATTAGGTAGTTTCGTTTTGGGCTGCTGTAGTTTGGAGTCACCAAAGATGCTGTGTTAAGAACTCTGAGTTCTGTAACTTAAATTGCATTAGGAAAGATATCGAGAGGCAAGTAAATCAACTTTAGAAGAAATTGGGCCGATTTGATTGCATGATACCACCAATATCAAATATCACGGAAAACCGTTTTGATGTTGACCAGGTTAAGTCTTCCTTGGATGTTACGCAGAAAAAGCTTGCGGATTTAGACCTACTAGCCTTCCTTTAAGCAAATTATCATAAACGTTTTCCGGATATCGTAAACAAAGCAGAAAATCTCATTTCATCAAGTTATAGTTTACAATATACCAACTAAATGGCTCTAAAGCCTATAAATAACAAGATCCTGAATTGCTGCGGCATGGCTAGTGTGTCATGTGAATGCTAACGACTTCGCAAAAAGTCAGTTCAACCTAAATATCCCACCATGTAACTCTCCTGACGCTAGTAAATTCACTAAATTTCAAGATCATCTAAGACTGAATAGCAGTTTTGAGCCGATATAATAGCTGAAGACAAAACACTGCGTCAACGCAGAGTAATGGATAACAATAATTTTTCACCCCTTATGGCTTATAATCACCGAAAGTGGGTTGTGAAAGGGTGAGAAAGGGTGTCAACAAATTCATGTAAGGCACTGAGAGACCCCCTGGAAACACATATATAGGTGATGGTTTTCAGCATACTTCGCCTTTTAGATACAGAGTTTTCAAACACCCCAAGATCTTGTAACCACAATAATAGTGTGGCTACTAAAACATGAACGATAAACGTACTGGTAGGCTGAATAACAGGCAAATGGTTTGACCTTACAGTGCTATTCCTCATAGCCCACAACCCTGCCTCAACCAATACTACCCATATGTTCAGGACGACAGTAGATTGTTTAGGTGTTCTGGGTCACTGGTACGACCCATGGCATCTAGAATCAACTCACTGCACTCTAACCCCAACGTATGGACACCCATTCCAACCCCCTTATCATTCATAAACTCTTCCGGTGCTGACGCACAAATGGAGTTAGATAATGGTGATATTTTGAACCAGTTTGTAGTATCCCCTGTATTGTTCACGATATTAACAATTAATGCACGTTATTTAATCAACAAGATATCTGAACTAAGGACATTATTATTAATCATCAAGCCTACATATGAGAACCACCCTTATCTGTGGGACAGCACTTTATTGCTAAGGCTCCTGAGTTCGAATGGCTTCTGCAAAATAAGAGAATAAATAAAATTTAAAAGAACGGAAGTTGAAAATTTGCCTAAAGATGAAGTTTAAATAACAAACTCTCCGAATGCAAGTACATAGTATGAGTCCCCTACTTCAGAAGGACACCTAAATGTATACTTCAGAAAAACAGTAGTTATTATTAAGCCCTTGCTTTTCTTCTACATAGTTCACGCACTTTGACTTTTGTGTTTAACTCCTATTCAACCTATATAAGTAGGTAAAATTATCATCTTTTTTTCACTTAAACTTTTTTTCTTTTCGCAAGAGAGACTAGAATTCCATCACTAAAACCTCAGGGGGAAATAGTATTTTTTTAGTGAAAAAAAACAAAAAAAGGATGAACCCCATGTTTGTTATATATGTATTGAATTATGAACACCTATTATATACTTCTGCACCTCTCTGGCGGTTTTCTTGTGTCTTCTTCTCCTTTCAAAGGTACTGCCTTAAACGAAGTCACTGAAACAGTGCCGCTATCCTCAACTAATTCGGAATATTGCTGGTCTACCTGGTGAATAACGGAACCACCTCTATCATGAAACCTGCTGACAAGTTCAAAGTTGGTCTCATATACAACTGGAAATGTCACAATTATGGTGTACTTACCGGTGAATTTGAAGTTTTATGGACTTTCAAACACTCTTTGAATCATTTACTTACAATTACTGTTCATTCCGCATCTCTTATATTTCACGTCAGCACCTATACAGAAATGCTACTTACCTTCCACAATTAACGTAATCGTTTATAATTCCCGCGTGAAATTGACATACCATATTTTTTCCAATTACAGTTCTGATTTGATGCTATATCTCATGAATTATTCGGGCGTTGATAAGGCATATCCCCTGTTTGAAGTGGCGCCTTCAGCTTTACCTTGAGGACATTTGCGCGGTCTAGTTGATTTGAGTTTGGCTGATTCGTTTCGTTTGATCTAGGTATCTGCATTTGACGTGATTCCGGTTTCTGTTTGGCTTGAACTGTATTGATTTTGTTAAGAATAGTCGTCAAAAGCTGCCTCTAGGCCTTAAGGCAGTTATGGTGCAGGAGGATGCTTGAGAATGTGTTCCATGTGAAAATTATAGGGTGCACCTAAAATCCTCCTGTTTGTGGCGTCTCAATGATTTCTGTAGAGCTTCGTTTCTTCACTTGTGTCCATTTTTGTCGTTCACGAGTGTTTCAGTAAATGTTTATCGCTATAATCACGAACTTTCCAAAACGGTAACTGTTGTAAGGAATTTGTATTTTTTCCGCTTTATTTTACAAGTCAGTGTCTCTTTTAAGTTCCTTACTGTACTCTGTTGGCTATTCATGAATTTTTTATTGAAAAGCTTCTGTTTTCATTTACAGTGGTACCGAATGGACGCATTGGCACTTGGAGACAATGGCAACCAACCTGCCCTTCCTATATCAGTGGATATCAAAAAACTCTTTGACGGAATTATGTTTAGTCACCGGTATACCAGTTGGGTTCAAGTAGAAGATGCTCTAAGTCAGCTGGAATCAGCAATATATGTAAATATGTATGACAGAGTATTCCTAGGCAACTCATACACATTATGTAATCAAAAAGTGCATACGGGACCATGAATCTCAGGAGTTGAAGTATAAATTAGTAGTCTTTCGTTGTACATATGGCATGAAGCGAAAAACTAGAGGTTCAGGTTTACGCGTCAAACCGTAAGAATTCTATTATTTAATTCTGCAGTGCAAAATACACCGGTTGCCAATCTGGCTTTCGTATACGCTACAAGGAGGACGAGTTTATCATTTCTTCCGCGAAAACAGTTCACAATCACAAATGTGAAAAAAGTCTTATGATAGGTGATCCATATTTTAGACGCCTGTCCGGGGATGAAAAGGAGAATATTGCACCAGTTGTGAGGACTACATCTGAGGTTGCTGATGTTTTGGAATATGCTGAAGAGAATTTTAATAAAATTTTGACGAGCACAGATGTGTATAATTTACGTAAGGATATGAGACCAGGTAATTGAAGTGTTTTAAAGTTATTTTTGAAGCCATGCCTTTGAGATCAGATGTTATGCGTATAATAAGGCAAAGCGGTCAGGTGGTTGAATACGTGGATTCGAATACAGGGGTAACCAGCAGAATTTGCTTCGCCCTGGAATCACAGGTTCAGTTATATCGGAAATATGGAGAGGTGGTGTGTATTGACTCAACATACAATACCAATAAGGACGGGTAGGTTATACGTGAAACGGTTGACAGATATTCTCTGTTTCAGTTGGTGGTAACAGACAATATGGGTCATGGCAGGCCGGTTTTTTTGGCATGGACGAGACGAGAGAGGTCATGTGATGTAGCTTGGATATTGGAACAATTCCAAAGAATAATGCAGGATACGTCCATCACAGAAACTTTCGTAATGGATTCGGCCAACTGTGAGATATCCGCCGTGCGTAATAGTCAAATTCAGGCGAAAATCGTCATCTGTGCATTTCATGTATGCCGGGCTTTCAGCAGGAAGGTGAGGTGAATGTAATTAATACTTGATGCATTTAGACTCGAAATCCTTTTGTACGCAGGTTTTTATATCGTCTTGTTAAAGCTACGACACCTGAAAGGTAAATGCATTGATTTCTAACCGTTTAGATTTCATCACTACCTTAGTGTCATTAGGATGGTTGATCGAAGGGTGTGGAATTATGTCAGGCATTACTGGGTGCCTAAGAAGGAGACGTGGGCTGCGGCATATATGCCGAATACTCTGTTGCTGTTTAATAGTACCAACAATAGAGTTGAAAGCTCTCACAGTCACCTAAAACGATATCTCCATAGAAGAGATCCCCTACACGTATGCATGTACAAGACGTATAAATGGTGTGTACGCACAGAGAAGCGTCGTAGTGTTGAAGTCATCGTCGAAAGTTCTCGGATTCATAAGTACCACGCACCGGAACCAGTTATGCCGATATTAGGAAACTTCACTCCTTATGCCGCTAAGTTAATTGCCAAAGACTATGGCCGTAATCGTCGGATGAACATAGAGTTGTATACTGATGCTATGGCTATCATAAATGACGGCATATACCTGCACCAAGTGGATTATACCAATTCTACTTGTACCTGCAGAATATTTAGGGCACAGAGACTACCTTGCCGGCATATGCTGCTATGTCACACTCAAATTCCTCAGTTTACAGGTAAATCAAACTCTTACTAATATTTAAATTAACATTTTTAGTTGACAAAGTAATTCGCCTGTGTCGCAGATGGTTTTGGCAGGATCCGTTGCTACCAAGTCGTGTGCCGTGTGAAGGTTCAGTGAAGAAACCCTGCATGGAGATACTGCAACTTCGCAGGCAATTGAACAGAAGCTTCGCAGTTATGCAGGATAATTATAGTAATGAATATACTATTAGTGCACTGCGGGCAACTCTGAATTACTTTGAGAACTTTCTTGTATAATAATGGAAGATGTACATAAATTTTGTGTCAATAAATGCAAATATACCCCAACTTCTAAACTGCATACGCCTTATGTTTTACCGTTTCATGTGACAGAAGTCTAATAGTCATTTGCGAATATAGTAGAAAGCATTTTCTAGAGAGCAAGTAAAAGTGAATACTAGGCGGAATCTCCAGTACTTAGTATGAGAAGTAAGGTGAACGTTTTTTTCTTGTAAGTACGCAATGAAAAGATAATGACGAGTTTTTGTAACTAGCATTGTATTTACTATGTAGGTAATGTTATTACAGGCATACATTGCTATCACGTGTCTAGTCTGGCGTATCGCCGCATGAGTAACACCAATTGTAGCGTTTTCCAGTCAGTAGAATTTCGACTTTTCGTACGTCAAACTTCGCGGAAGGTAGATGCAATTAAAGGCTGCTTCCAGACGTCCGTACAACGGCACCTTGGGCAATGTCTACAAAGACAAAAATAAGATAATTAGAAGACACGTTAAAATGCATAGGTAAATAAGTCAAGTACTGTTTTGGAATAAGGGAGATTACTAGTATTATGACAAGGTCTTCAACTCATTTCATTTCTTTCGACTGCTACCATTTCTTGCGTCAGCGTTACTTACTTATAGTTCACTGTAACTTCTTCGTTGCACCCTATTTACACAGTGCAAGGAAATGAGAAAATTAGTGCAATACTTAGGGTACGGCAATAATAAGGGTATAAGCAGATTAACACTGCAGCGAGGTGCAACAGTAATAATAATTTGCTTTGTTCGAAAACAGTATTAATGTTTCAGTGTTGAATTCGCAGCATCTCGTACATTATTGTATTTCATTTTATGAAGTAATAACATCTCCAAGGTATTTCATATTAGACTTAGTTTATGTTTCAGTGCCCTCTGTGATACAAACATCTTGTGAATGATACATGAGTCTTTCAGTTATGCGTACTACTGTACTTAGAACACAAGATATAGGTAGGTTTTTCGAACACATCAACTGGAAGGTTGAAGCAATTCAACTCACTTATGAATTGGAAAATCAGGAAGGGGAGCTGCCAATGTTAGATTGCAACGTAAAGAGGAAAGAAGATGGGAAGTTAAACACTAGTGTTTACAGGAAACCCACACACTCAAACAGATATTTGGACTTCCAATCATCACATCCTATGTCAGTAAAACTAGGATTGGTGAAATGTTTAAATGACAGAGCACAAAAATTAAGTAGTACCAAAGAAAATCTAAAACAAGAACTGATACATATAAAAGAAGCCTTAAAACTTAATAATTACCCGGATAAATTAGTCAGGAAATATGTAAGGAAATGTAAAAATAAAATAAATAATTATAATAGCGATAGTGATAATAACAATAATAATGATAATGATAATAGTGACAATAATAATAATATTAATGACGACACCAACAATAAAGAATCTAAATCATCAGTAGTAATTCCATACAAGGAAGGAACCTCAGAAGCTTTACGCAGAATTCTCAACAAGGCAGGAATAAAAACGGCATTCAAACCCACAAACTCAATTAGAAACAAGCTTTGTCAGCTAAAGGATCCTATAGAACCTTTAAAACAAAACAATTTAGTTTATCTAATACCCTGCAATGATTGTCAGGTCAAATACATAGGTCAAACTAGTAGAACAGGGGCAGTCAGACTAGCTGAACATAAAAACTTAGCAAAATCTAGATTGGTTGACCCGAATAAGATAACAAAATCTAGAGAATAGTTCAGCTATAGCACTACATGCAGTCACACACAACCATATAATAGGATGGGATAGGATTACAGTTTTAAAATGTAATGTCACAGGGTATAGGGAGAGATTGATAACGGAAGGTTTGTTTATTGAATCAACTGCAAATACATGTAATAGGAATGATTCATCACCTGTCCCCGATATCTGGAAAATTCTACTCCCCCTACGACAAATTGGAGAAAACAAAGAAAGCTATAAAACGCAAGTGTCAAAGTCGTGTGATCACAATTGATATGATTATGAACAATAAATTTTGTTCGAAACGTCATCCAGTAAATAATACTGTTTCACTCACTGTGTGATATATCTAATAAACAAACTAATATGGAATTACTTACTACCACAGTGCCCAAGTTTTACACATATATTAATTCATCGAGCCAGTTAGGAAATGGAGATGTGTCAGTGAAGCCCAGTGTTCTACTTGGAACTCCAGGGGATAATAATACAAAAATGAAAGTTTAAATGAGTATGGGAGGATTTTCGGTTCAGCTTTGTTAGTGTTATACTTTTCAATATCATTAGTGGAAACTGTGACTATTAACTGCTTACTACAGTTAGGTTATAAGTATTATGGTAGTTATTCGTTGGATAATAAATACATCCTGATTTTGGTTTTTATAGAGATGTTGACTGATTTTATAACGACAGTTAATTAAACTGTTTCACTGTGTGATATACCTAATAAACAAACTAATATGGAATGCGTACTAAAGCTTTAAAAAAATCACTCATCTAATTCACTTCTATTAGCACTAATTCTTATGTCCGTGTTACTGACTTTTGGTTTATGTAGTTGTGACACTAGGCAGCTGCAGTGACAAAGCCGACTGACTGAGTTATAACATGCAACTCCGTGGAGAAGTGCAACTTTTGAGATGTAACGGGACAGAGTGTAAAAGTTATCTCAAGTAGGAGGAGAAATTATTGTAAGACAACTCTTTTTCAGTTAGACGAGAACCGAATAAAAAAAATGCGATTATCATTTGTTGACATTTTGCGTATTTTTATCCACGTTTTAGCATTTCATTATACCTGGACTACAGATCATTCTGACAGACTGACTTTCAACATAGAAGCTTGCAAACAAGTGCACCTGTTTACGTTATCACATTCCATGTAGTACACAAAGGTAGAGAAAAAAGAAATCAAATGGAACTCTAATGAGCATAAATGTCATGGAAAACGAACACTGATATGGAAAAAACACGTGGGTTGTACAGATATGTGAGATTACACAGAGTGAATGCATCTGTCATTAACAACGTTCGGAGTCACATTTCTACTTAACATTAAGCTTAACCACAATATTACTCACCATATTGGACTACTTAACACAGGAGAAAGGGCACAGACACTACGATCAAAAACCAGTAGTCTTTTCATATCTTCCAGTTTCAATGATCACTCCTCACAGTCTAAGTGGACAATATCATCAGATACACTAAGTTGACGAGACTGTTCCACTATAAGTCCCTAAAGTCAATGACAGACAATTCTATTAATACATGTATGATGAAAGTGAACTGAAAGAAGGACGACAGTTGTAGAAATGAGTCTTGTATTATATCCTTCTTGGAAATATCAATTCCCTCATAGTTTAGTTTCAGTATTAAGTGAATGGAATGCAATCTACAGATTCATGAAATTCACATGCTGACGTACTACTTTTCTGGAATCATGGTTAATGTCTCCTCATTAAAGTGAGCAATGGGTATTGCACTTGTATAAATTTAATAGGATGTGAACCGCTGCCGATGAAAACGACAGAAATTCTTGGAATTATCAGTTATAATTTCAGCTGGATCACATGCAACACTCGGCAGTTGTTAAGTGGTCAATTCATGAACGTGGAATCCATACAGAAAGCGCAGAAGAGTTAGTACAACATGCACACTCCTGATTTCACTATTCAGCATGCACGCCAAATGCATTACTTTAGGGGCCTACACACTTCACAAATTAACTCACAACACTGAAGTGGAGAAATTCATATTTGTCCTTACTGAGCTTAATATAGCGGTTCTTGTGAAGTAACTTTCTTATGCAGAAGAGAAGAGCAAGGTATTCATAATCTTTCGCTACATGTGGAATCGCAGTGCAACTCGATGCGCAACAGTATATATATGAATAAACTCAAAAATAAAGTCCTCCTGGTGACACATTGTGACATGATAGGAAGTGAGACTGTCAGATCACCAACGTATTTGACGAAGTTGCTCTCATTAGAAAGAGAAAAGTCATGTAAGACAAGAGAGAGAAAAAAGAAAAAGAGAGATAACAGTACCCTGAGGAACACAACCTTCAGCAAGCAAGGTGGAAGATTTACCCTAATATACAGTATGCTGTATACCATTTAGGAAATGACAATGCAACCAATCACCTGCACAGGACTCGTGTTTGCACGACCGAAACCTTACTCAACTAATATCATCTAGGTCCTTAGTCAATAACGGCATATGCTGAATAACTTAAAGCTTAGCACAAAAGTGATAAAGCACAAAAAACACTTGCAAAGTAGGAGACGGATCCCGGGTGGATGAGGAGGTTACTGAAAGGTATTTATTCGTCATTTAGCAAAGAAGAAGATTAAGAACTGCAATTATCATTTGTTGACATTCTGGAGACCATTATTCAGTGTTTCGCATTTAGTTATGCCTAGCCTGTGTCATTCTGCCTGACTTTCAGTATGACTTCGCAAAGAAGTCCAACTGTTCAGTTTACCACATTCCATGCACAACACAAAGGTAGAGACATAAAAATAAATGGAAGTTTAACGAGCGAAAATTTGAGGGAAAATAAATAGTGACAACATGAGTTGAATAGATACGTGAGATTACACAGAGTGAATGCATTTGTGCCATAAACAAAGACTTGCAGACACATATCTAGTAGTTCTTCTAGCTGACTGTCAACGATTTTATGAACCAATAGCAGTTTTTCATTCGACCGACTCAAACACATTTTGAACCTTAACATGTGCTGGCTAACATTATCCCTAGAGGAAGGCGATGGCTTGGTATATAATCACACGTTACAGCCATCTCAACCTATTCAGCTTCCCAACCTTGAAGACTAACTTACCCTCCTCACCTAACACTTTATGCGTAACCTGAAGAGCAATCGCCATACTATACTGCTTTACTCATGAGATAGAACACAGACACCAATAATCAAACACCGGTATTCTTTTCATATCTTCCAGTATCAGGGTTTACTTCTCATAGTTTAGGTGTACAGTATCATCAGCAAGGTGTAGGCTGATGATGATGATAA